AAAAAAAAAAAAAAAAAAGAAAAGAAGAAAGAAAGAAGAAGAAGAGAGAAGATGAAAGAAGTGAATTTTATATTGTGGGCATGAAATCCTTACCAAAACAGCGCAAGTGCATATATGTAGGAGGATTAAAACTCCCAGTTGATACCAAAACGACATAAAGCTTCCCCCTGAATGAGTAAAAGGACCCAAACATTTCAAATGAATCACATAAATAAAAGGACAGTAAGTGAAGTAAAGCGAATTACAATCCATGATAAGCCAAAAGATGAATTTAAGGAGAAAAAAATATGAAAAACATAATGCAAGGCTTACTTGCTCCCTGAACTTGATAAACCATCTTTATTGATACAATCCAATGATAATTTATCCAATGGAAGCTCTACATCTACAACACCCACATAAACACGTCGAGATTTTGAAGCAAAGCCAAAATCTTGTAAACATTCGAGATTTTAAAAATGGAAGGCAGGGAAAGGAACAAAACCTGGACTTGAAGCAGCCATTAAAATGGGATTCTTACAAGCTTCTCTCAAGAAAAAGCATGAAAAGATTACAACCAGGCATAAATGCAGCTGATTTTCAGTGTAATCTGCGAGCTCCCAAATCCCAATCCAAAAGTAGCAAAATTCTTGATTTTTGAAGAAAACAAGAATATTGTTTTAAAATTACTTGCAGGTCGATCCAGTTTCTAGGCTCTGCACAGCCGAGTGTGGTGGCAGCCCTCGGCGGCTCCGACAAACGCACGGTGGTGTCCTAGGGAAGAGCCGCCGTGTGTTAGTGTGTGTGTACAGTGTACGTGTCGTGATGGAAAATGGAAATGAAAGATTTTGTTGGGCCTTACTTGGGTTGGGAAAACTTGGTCTGTGGCTGTTGGCACAAGACTTGGGCTACAAAACGTTGGGCTCATGCGTAGACTCTCATTGCTCCAAATATAATCTATCTATATATATTGAAAAAGAGAAGTCAATAAATTATTTGTGGAAATTTTTAAAAAATAATGAGTCAACCATTTGACTTACTATTATAAGTAATATTTTAAAACACACATGTGATAATGATTTTCGAAAATTTTGGTAATTTGTTAGGATGTGATAGTGATAATGTTTTATCTTCTTTTTTTTTTGGAAACATCTTTGATAATCTATTCAATTTTTTTTGCCTTTTTTTAACAACTTTAACAACCTACACGGATTTTTTAACAAATTTAACGATTATTATGCTAATTAACCAAATCTACTTTATTAACTTCTATTTAAGTAAGAAGATAATTAAATATTAAAGAAAATAAGATTAAAAAGAAAAAGAAAAAAAAAGAGATAATTATGTTGAACTAGAATCGGTCATCTCTTCCGAAATCTCCTCCCCAAATTTCTCTCCTCTTCCCCGAATTTCAGCAGGCCCATCGAGATTTTTTTGCAGTCAATCCTTCTCCTTTAAAATCCTCAGCCAACCCTAAGATCTCCCTATGTATCTCACCCTCAATTTCACTCGCAAAAATCCTCGATTTTTTCTGCAATTTTCTCCTTCGGCGAGACAAACATGACAAACGCATCGTCCGGCCACAAGCAGCGAGCCTCGAATTCCGACGGCCAGAGCAACCCTAGGTCGCGAGCCCCAAATCCTCTCTCCGTTACAGCGCCGCGTCGTCCGTGAAACTCATCGGCATTTTGAGACATCCCAGCGAGTTCGAGCTCACATGGTGACCCTCCTCTGCATCCGACCTCGAGCCGCGACCGGCGACCTTCACAGCACCACAGAGTCGACCGACCTCGAAATGCGTTCGATTGCGTACATAGAGGAGAGCCTTTTTCAACAATCAACCAAGCCGAGACAAGGGCACTACGGTGACCGAGCAACCTTTTTCTTCCGATGTTTGTGTTCCTTTTTTTCCGACACAATGTATATTGGATAACCCGACTCTTGAGTTTGATTGGTGTTGGAATTTTGGTTGGGATATTTTGATCGTAACAGTCGAGCCTCTTATTTTTCCAAGTATCGAACCTCTGTTATTGGCATATTTTAGAAAACCATTTGTGAAGCTTCAACCTTTTTGGGCCAAACGGCCGTCACTAGAGCAAACTAATCGTCTAGCTTTCACAACCGTGTCGAAGGCATCGCAGCCTGCCCGTGCCGTCGCTGGTGTGCTGTCGCAGGCGTGCCACGACCCAAGTATGTGCTCAAGGATGTCGTAAAACGCAATCTATCTGGTCAATTTGTTGCCGAATCCATTACAAGCAATAAAAGGAAAGCAAAGGTCGATGGTGATGGAAATTTGATCGAGGACCAAAAAGAAGGATGTGATGACAGTGGAGTTTAAGATAAATATTATATTAGTTAATATAGGTTTAATCAATTTATTTAGTTGGATTTGATGAACAATTTGTATTTCTTAGGATTTAATTTCCGAGTTGAGTTTGGTTAATGTTTTTCAGTCGTTCAATATTTTCTTAGCAGCCTCTAGGTAAAATATAGTTGTCGAGGCTTTTGCTTCAATATATAAATAAGTTGGTTGATTTTATCTATTGTTCTATTAGTTTTGATTGAGTTGTTCGTATTAATTTATCACACCAAAACTATAAACCTTTGAAAATCCGACAATTGAGTTGTTAAAACCAAATAAATCTATAACCATAAAGCTTAATCCTATATGAATTTGAATTAAAATCTACAACCATATACCAAGATTTGAATCATTCAAAGAATTCACACTATCCAAAATACTAAATATATTTGGTTGGAATAAAAAAATATGTACAAAATATCCTTGGTTGTTAAAACAATATATCTACAAACTAAGCACCAAATCAAAGAATATATACTATATATTTGCAATAAATCGAAATGCACGTTCTAATCACACTCTTTTGTGAGCAATCAAATCGGTTTTCACAATTTCGGATTATTATTTAAATCCATGGTTTTCAATAATATATTACTATATTGATCCGATTGGAAGTTTACATAAATAAAAATATCATTTGATATTAATTTTATTTTTATATTTTATATAGATATATTTTATATTTTATTGATTCATATAATCCAGGCTATCCAAAATACTAATGGTTGTTACAAATATATATCTAGAACACAAGTAACTAATCGGATAAGGGTTCGAAAAAAAATATCCTACTGATAAATACTAATGATTTACTTGGAATATAATCAAACGGAAATCTCATTTAACAGAATTTAGAATTTTAATCGCTTATTAGTGCAATGATATATGTAGCCAAATATGACACCAAATCTTTGATAATTCTTCTACTATTGAGTTATTAAAACCAAATAAATCTATAACCATAAATCCTAATCCTATATGAATTTGATTTAAAATCTACAACCATATACCAATAAATCATTAGACTAATCCGATCTTTTATACAATGATATTTTGAATATAAAAGTTATACCAAGATTTTATACTTCTTAGACTCCACAATTTACAAAATATATTTGGTTGTTAAAACACTATATCTACAAACCAAGCAACAAATCAAAAAATATATACTATATATTTGTAATAAATAGAAATACACGTTCTAATCACACTCTTTTGGTTTGCACTCAAATCGGTTTTCACAATTTTTCGGATTATTACTTAAATCGATGTTTTTAAATAATATATTACTATATTGTTCCTTGTGTAAGTTTACATAAATAAAACTATCATTTGATTTCAATTTTATTTTTATATTTTATATAGATATTTTATATTTTTTTTATTCATAGCTATCCAAAACACTAATGGTTGTTAAAAATATATATGTAGAAAACAAGTAACTAATCGGATAAGGATTTGAAAAATAAAATTGATATGCATGATATTTTTAATGTCATGAGACAATTTAAATTCAAAATTTTATACTAATATAAAAATATTGTTGGTAAAATCATTTTTAGTAACTTTGACCAAAAAAATAATTAGGTTGACTTACTATTAGTAGAAATTTAGAAAAAAACATGTAGATCTTTAGTAACAAAATCTAAATCTTATTTTTTTTGTAACAAATTTGGAGATTCTTATGCCAAAATATGAATCCTATTTTCTTGTATCATTTTTTATTTTTTTGATCAAATATGAATCCTATTTTTTTGGTGACAAGTTTGGAGATTCACGAAAACAAATTCAAATACAAATTAATTTAAAAACCATACAAATTGGATACAAGTTTAGGAAATAAATAGTTATATAATTCTTAACAAAAATTTTCAATCTTTTTGAATAATTTTTTCTTTAAAAAGATGTGTGCAAATTGGATAAAACAAATTTTATTTTGAAACAAAATTAAAATTTGGACGGGATATACATTCAGAATCGTATCCACCTTTTGGTAACAATATCGGTTCATCTTTGACATTTAAAATCAAACATTATCCAATTAATTAGGAAATAAAGTTCAAATCAAATAATGTGCAACTTTTTAAACTTTGAATGAACCGATGTTTTTGGATTCTTGTGTTTTCTTAACCATGTTTTACTGAGAAACAGTTGCATAAATCTTAACAAAATATTCCGATCTTGTATTAGAATTAATTTCAATTTAATTGGTTTAGTAAAAAAAATCGCTGCAATGTTAGAAAATTTTGGTTCCATTTTTAGGAAAAATTGATGATTTTTTTTCACTTTGTTTTAACCAAACATTCGGATCAATTTGTTTGGTAAAAAAATTAGTATATTGGTATGAAAATTCGGTTGAATTTTTAGGAAAAACAAATGATTCTTTTCAATTTTACTTAATCAAAATTCTGAATTAGAATTAAAAAAAATGGTGTGGAAAAATCATAAAAATCTCTACTTTCTTTCTACTATAATTTTTTTTAATAAATAAGATCCCTTAATTTTTTTAAATGTAATTTGTTAATTAGTAACTAATAATACATAATTATAGATAAAATTTGAACACTCATATAGTATTTTACGTCCCAATGATATACATAAGAAAGTGGTCAATAATATATAAATTTTAAAACTATGAATGTTATACATAAGAAAGTGGTCAATAATATATAAATTTTATTTTTATGATATTTTTAATGTAAGGAGACAATTTAAATACCAAAAGTACATTTTAAACATAAAGTAGGTAATAATGCTCTCGTGCATCGCACGGGTACTGTACTAGTATAAGAGGAATATAAGCCAACATTAAATGATAAGCTATGAAGCCCGGAGCACGGATAGTTTCGTACGGACATGTATTTATAATTGACAGTAAAGCTATGGAGCCAACTGTTGGCTCCGTTATGGAGCCAACTGTTGGCTCCGTTATGGAGCCAACAGCCAATAGGACAGCTCCATGTGGGGCTGTCCCACATGGCTCTAATGTGAGACAGCCCACATGGAGCTGTCCCATTGGCTGTTGACTCCTTAGCATTATTGTTATAATTGATACTTCATAAGCTATTCATTTAAAATGGCTAAAGGACGCATATATGCTTCTCTAAAAAACCTGTTCCCAATTGACGAAACCTGTAAAATAATTCCATAGTCTTTTCATTCGAAGCCTGTAAAAACAATTCCAACTATTTATTCAAAAGCCTTTTTATTTGAAAACCATACCATTATCTTTTATAAATTCATTTAGATCATTTTCAGTTTATCTTAAACTTATTATATTTTCTCTATTAAAAATTAATTTGAATTATGGTTAATCATAAGTATATTTTAAGTATATTTTTTATTTTTTTACTAAATCATAAAAAAACTGGTTAATCTTAAATATATCTTAAGCATATCATAAGTATATTATCTATTTTCTTTACTAAATCCTAAAAAACTGATTAATCTTAAGTATATCTTAAGTATATTATCTATTTTTTTTTTACTAAATCATAAAAAACTAATTAATTTTAAGTATATCTTAAGTATATTATCTAATTTATAATTATAACTAAATGACACAGAAATAAATAGACAACAAAATCAATTAAAAAAAATAAACTGAATATAAACTACAAATAAACCCAAAAAAAAACCTAATTAATTAAAAAATAAACTAAATATAAACTACAAATAAACCAACTAAACCTAATTAATTAAAAAAATAAACTGAATATAAACTACAAATAAACCAAAAAAAACCTAATTAATTAAAAAAAATAAACTGAATATAAAGTTATAAACTACAAATAAACAAAAAAAACCTAATTAAGAACCATATAATCATATCTTTGATTACAGATAAACAATCAAATTAACTTTCAAAATCATTCAAAACACAAATATATCACATAGTAGCACACACACAAACAACGATCACCAATCAGCACAACAATGCGACAGTAGCCTTCAAATTCTCTACATCAAAATTTAGAGAAAAAATTGCAAGACCTGAGTCACATTTGCAGTGAATAAAAAATACTTCAAGATATTATTCAAGTTTCGAGCTTCAAGAAATCATAGATAAACATCAGATAAACATTGAATTAATCTTCAAAAAACTAATTTTTTATTCCCAGAAATTAACACATGTAATGAAATCATAGATCAATTAACACTAAAAAATCTACTTTATAAAAAACTCCCATAGATTATTCAAGCTCTCATCTTCAAGAAAACCATAGATAAACATCAAACTAACACTAAAAAAGCTACTTTAATTTTTTTTTTTTTCTAAAACTTAACACAAGTAAATTAGAAAGAAGGGGTAATCGGAGCCATCAAAAAATAGAAAACGCAGCCCATCACTTTTTCCGACCTTTGAGTCTCCATTTTCACATCTCTTCTCATTTGACAGAAAAAACATATCGGTTGGTGGATGAGTAAAATAGATGAACTTCAGAAAATAGACTAAAATAGTATCACAACTCACAAGAAAACACAGTTGGAACGATCGAAATTCCACAAGTAGCCATTTATCTATATTCATCAACCAGCGCTGCAAAACTCGGAATCATTTCGAATTCTCTATAGTCTAACAGACAAAGCAAATAATCATCCAATTTACCTCAATTCACAAACAGCCACAAATAAAACAAATAGCCTAAAATTTATGGTTTAATAGCTCAAGAAAATTTGGATAACATCAAAGCATCAAGAAACACTCATCAATCAATTCATAATTATTATAAAACAATATATTTTCCTTTTGTAAATAAAAATAGAACCGCAAAAGCAACTCGACATACATTTCTGAAAACCTTCTACAAGGACACGTTGCGTTTAGCAAGCATATCAGAACCATATTATGCTTTATCGGGGTGAAAGAGCAAATATCCAAAACCACAAAGAATATGCCTCAAAAGAACATACATACTCACATACACATCTGTTTGAGAAAACCGGCCCCAAAAGCTCGAGTCACCTTTAAAGAACCTTTCACTCGGTCATTGATCACAACACAAGCACGATCAAGATGTTCATTTCTAATCCTCGTAACTTCCTATTGTACGAACCACCACAACAACAACAATAAATCGAAATTCAGCAAACAAATCAATGTAACAAACACAAAAAAAAAAAAAAAAAAAAAAAAAAAAAATNTAAAAAAGTTCATCAATTTTGAGCAGACTTTCTTTACCTCCTGAACCGAGGTGATTTGTTCGTTTGTGAGCTGAAAAGTAGTTAAGCTCGGCAGCAAATCTGGCACGCCCTAGGAGTGAAAACCAAAACATTCCATTGAGATTCTTCATAAAGTTATTTCAATAGATAATGACACATTAATAAATGGCAATAATAACAAAATAATCATCCAATTCACAAACAACAAAGCAACATATTCCAATTTACCTCAATAATGACACATTAATTCAGGCACTGGGAATTGGATCTAAGGTTCGGGTTGCTGCATACGCTAGGGTGAAATTCAGGTTGAAGAAACCGTCAATTGCGTAGATGAACACAAATCCGTCGTCGAAAATAGGGGTATCAGAGACTTCGACGTTGTTGATGGATATTTGTTCAGGCTGGCCGGAGGTCACGACGAGGTGGCTGACGGGGGAGAGGGACGGGACTGTGGAGGCGAAGGGTAGGGAGAGGAGGGATTGGGGAGAGAGAGAAGGGGGAGAAGTGAAGGAGGAGGTGGGCGAGAGACGGCTGACCGAAAGATGGTGAGGGTGGTGATGGGCGTCGATGGTGAAGTGGAATTGAAATTTTCACAATTTCGTAATTTAGGCTTAATGAAGTTGATGTGCGATTTTTTTTTTATCTCGTTAAATGGGCAGTACTGAAAGTTGGGCTCGTCCAGAGGGTACTTATTTCATTTAAAATAATTAATATGGATTTTTGAGTTATGCAGATTTTTTTTTTCAATTTTTTTGAGTCGTACTATATTTTAATGGACGATGAGTCAAGAAAACCTAAATACTACAGATTTTGTTTAACGAAAGATGGTTGAAATTTATATGTTAGGCTAAACTACATAGTCTGACAAACATATAATTCTGGAAAAACAACAATTGGCTCGACAAACTCTGAATTGAACTTAACGAGCAGATTAAACAAGCTTCAAATTGATATGCAGCTTGCATATACCATCAAAAATAAGATTCAGTTGTCCAACAAGGCTTAATTAAGCACGTTTTCCACATTTGCTATGCATGAACAAAACGAAGTAGCTAAACTAGCAGTTCTAGAAGCTTCTAAATGCAGACTGTGATGCATTCTGAGACGAGCGGTGGCTGTGATACCTATCGACAGATTTCCCTAACATCTCTTGGTCTTTTAAGTATGATTGGGTTAGCTTCTCTATCTCTTCATTCGTCTCCATAAGCTCCAAATCAAGTGTTTGCAACAATCGCAATTTCTTTGAGCTTTGCAGAGGAGTTGCAGCTCTGTTTTCCACCGGAAATATGATCACTGGATCCCTGAAATTTTATTAAACAGAGAAAATATAATCGATTTCATATTTGGATATGTATGGAAGAAGATTGTGTAAATACAAGTATTTGGAAAATGACAGATGGAGATAACTGGAGATTTTTTTGCAATTTTGGGTTGAACATCAATGCGAAAATTTGAATATATTCTTTTGGCATTTCTGAAAATGTGCTGTGCATGTGCTAAATGTGTGTGGGACGCTAAATCCACAAAAAAATGAGATGAAATTGAAGCTCAACGAGTTTTTCTACTACAAATTTGGATGCAGTTGATGATGCATTTCAATTTCTTCCTTCTAAGTACCACAAATCAGTTTCGGATTATCATATACCACAAAAGATGTTACAAATGCTTCTCAATAACCGGCAAGAAAATAAATAAGAGTAAAAATTAGGAAACCATAGTAAGAACAAAATTAGAGAAAAGTTTATACCAATTGCCAAGAGAGACCAATCCATTTCCTTTTATGATGCTTCCATCCATAGACACAGCGCCATCTTTAATGCAGGATCTTGCCTTCATCATGCAATCCCTGTCCTTATACACTTGAAGCTCACCAAAAAGACGGTAAAATAATGTCTCCCGTAAGCCACGGCCGCTCTTTGATCTCCACTGCAAATAACTCGTTTCTACAGTTATCATGTTAACGGCATACCCCAAAAACCCTTGTGGCACATCACCTGTTGGCAATTTGGGCAGCTGCATGGAAAGTAGATTTTGGGGGCCACTGCAAATAACTCGTTTGATTTAATATTAATGGGAATGGGTAAATTATACGTGCTTTGTCCTAAAAAAAAAAAGGGAAAAAAAGGATGAAAATTTGCTACTGGTACCTAATGTCTTCGAGGCACAATGCCTGATACCCTCCGATTATAGATTGTCCGACTTTATTTGCCAACTCGTGGACGGTATTTGAGTCAAGATTAAATGCTTCTACATAGTTTTCGCACACAATGGCAAGCATTAAATCATCACCGAGATACTTAGCCAACGCCCTGCATCAAGAATGAATATAAGGTTATAGATCACATTAAATATATAATGTGTACATATGTATGTTTATATTGAGAGAGAGAGAGAGAGAAAGAGAGAGACCTGCTAAGGTCAATGCTTTCTGTTGTTCCAAGAAGTGCCACGATACCAAGAATGCCACTAGGTCTTGACTCTAATGGTTCCTCAAGCAATTTGCAGAAGACAGAGGCTACTGATTGAGTGTTGCTTTTGATCTGTTCACGTATCCAATCTTGACTGCACATGCTTGACACATTATCAGGATAATAATCTGCAGAAGGTTAAAAAATAAAAAGAAAAAAAAAACTCTAAATGATTTATCATGGAATGTAATATTCATTTCAAGTGGTTTTGTAAGTTCAAACCATATCTTGCACTGGAACCACAAATACTTGCACATCTCACAATATTAGTTTTCCGTAAGTTGTCATCAAGAAACATATTCCATGCAAGCTACATTTTGTGGTGCAATAAAGTTAAAATGGTGTGGACAGTGAAAAAAGAAAATATATATATATGTGTGTGTGTGTGTGTGTGTGTGTGTTTGCTTGTAGCCTTGAAAGAACTCCTGGTTGTAGCTGGTAGAGGGACTTCCCCATTTCAATTGTTTGACAGTTCTTGTCTGGGTGTAATATGGATTTCTGGATATTTCAATTACAAATATTAATACTTTTTCTCACCTTCTATTTACAGTAAATTATAAATATAGGGAATATATAAATCATGAAAGTTTTGTGCAGCGCATGTGCAATGATATAAAGCATGGATTGAATGATTAAACAAGGTCGTACACAACTCTACTCAAATAAAGATGTGAACCAATATTACCTTGTAAATCTAAAATTTGTTGCTGAATGATTGACTTCGTAGTGTTTAGCCTCTCCAACTTCCTCTCATGTTCCATCACTATTAAGCCCCAATTGGTCATGTCATTTTCAATCTCCTGTATAAAGAAGCTTAACTCAGAAATGAAAATTAAAAGGTATAACCTTTCAATCTCCTATGGTGCCAATCATATTGATGTCATTTCTTCATGAAGCTTCAAGCTTCATAGCGAACGTAAACTTCCAAATAATTAGCAATTCTGAGTTTACCTCCAAATTCCCCATTTCTTGTGAAGCCATGTCCTGAACCGGCATTACGTCCAGTTCTTTATTTTGAACACGAGTATCCTCCAATTTGGGATCTTTTTGAGGTAGGCAGCCGATGGGCAACGCAAAGTATTCGTTGGCAACAGGAGGGGAACAAACTTTATGTTCGGCTCGTATATCCTTCAACAATGGTGACGTTGGGGGAATACGTAAATCCTTCAAAAAATGTGAAGTCGGGGGAATTCGTAAATTTCCGCAAGAATCTGTATGCCCATCAGGTAAATCCATAAAAAAAGATGAAGTTTGGGGAATCTGTAAATGTTTGCAAGAATCTCTAGGGGATTGTGCTGGATTCACAACAACATCCTCATAATTCAAAGTAAGTTCACGATTTTCCTCCACGACCTCCTTAACATGAACCTACAAACAGTTACATGTCGGATAAGAACCTAGAAACCAGAAAAAAAAAAAAAGGATATAAATTATTTAGATTTTTGGAACCTCAATAGTGAAGTTTAGTTCCGAATAACGTGAATGAGCTGCCGAAAATGAGAAAATCCCTCCTCTTTGCGGTAGAGGAACGGAACGAATAGTACATTGTCCACAACGAAAGCTGTAACTGACAAAATCATCTATATCCAATGAATTCGATTTAAGTGTAAGAGTATGAGACCTCCCGTGTTTTACTTCGTCATGAATACTCTCATCAATATTGCCTTTAGAATCAATAACCTCAAACACAATATTCTTCAATGTCGAACCCGCTTCACAGTTCTTAAAGACCTGCATTGGAAGAATAAGAATGAAATGAATATAAAAAAATAAAAAAGATAAAAAGTAGTTCTTAATTAAAAGTAAAACATACAAACCTTTGGCACAGACTGCAGCTTTCTTATTTCTGTATGGAAGTTCAGCTGTAAAATGGTTTTCTCTTCGGATATAACAGCAAGGGAAACTGCACAAGAAAAAATAATCAACGATTCATGGAAGATTAAAGAAAGCAATTTCCATAATATTTCATGCGAGAAAAAGAGGAGGAGAAAAGTAAAATGAAAGAGGATAAAGAAGCCAACCATCTTTTCCATATCCCCTGGAAACTTTAAGAATATTGCTCAGATCAACATATCCATCAGCATTCACCTATCAGTTGAATGGAGTTACAATAAAGAAACCAAAATGTCTTGATCAGTGAGATGGAGTGGATACACATAAAATCTTCAAAGATGCATCATAGATGAGGCAGAGGACCTTTTTCAGATGTTTCCCATCACTATGGATGTCAGTGCTTCCTTCTTGAAACGAGAACCCATCTACACTCAACAAAATGATATCCCCTTCTTTAGCATGGTTTCCATATTCATCAAAGACCTGCATGAGAAGAATGTTGTTGAACATCGAGTAAGAAATACTAACAAAGTGCAAATAAGTTAAAAGATAAGATAAAGGACAGATGGAAAAAGTACCTCTAACATGAGAGTCTCAATAATTTGGTCTGGTAGCAATTCTCTTTTCAGTTGCCGTGGATGTACGTTGATTGTTTTGGGAGTTCCAGGTAAAACTGTACACATAAACAACCTCGAGTCAGAAATTCAGGATCACAAATTAACGGGAAGTTAACGATTGACTATCTATGAAAACTGGTAGCCACATACGAACATCAAGTACATTACCTTGACATGGGAAAGACAAGGAGAAATCTTTATCAATGGTGCATATGTCTAATGTAGCTTTATAGCCTGGCCTAATATCATCTAACATAGTGCTTTTTGCAACGACATCCTACAAGATTTCAAAGTTACAAATGGGGGCACCTGTAAATGAAAGCAAATTCAGCAGAAGCCTAACACTACCTTAATTTCCATAATTGACTTGTCAGTTGCGAGAACCACTTCCATACTGCGTATGTGAGCAATAACTGTGCTATTGGAGCTGAGCTTCGCAGTTAGTTTTGGAACACTAGTGAATACAACACATTTTTCATTTCTATCACAGCACATCACTTTAAGTGGTTCAGCACAGAAGCCGACCCTGCACAACAATCAGACTGATATAAAAACAAACTGCAGAGAGAGGTTCAGTACATGATGCACCATTCATGCTACTCACCGAATTGTGTAGGGTTCATCCAGATAATGACTTACAACTTTCCAATAACCAATTTCAGCTGATGCCTGAACTTGCACAACTTGTTCAAACCGTACGTCCTTCAGTCCATTCTAATAAATGAAGTTTTAAATGTATTAGTGATATATCAGTTTAGGATTTCATCTCGTTATAACTGGAAAGTTGATTCATATAATAACAATTACCACGGCGAATGAAAAGGTATAGAAGCCAGCTTTCTCGAATAACATTTCCCACTTCACTGGAAATACGTATAAGCCATGAAACGCATTATGTGATTCAGGTGGTCGGCGAATGGAAAAAGTATGATCACCCTTTTTATCAATTTTACCACCAGCATTGAATTTCACTTCAAGACTCATCTCATGCTTATCTTTAACAATGAACTTTTGATCCAAACTGTTAGGACAATTTCCAGAATCATAAGCCTTTGGGCGAATGACGGCGACAACATTCTCAGGTGGAGCATATCCAGCTTCTATAACACTAGGCAAATCCTGTAATTTAAGTGGAATTAATTTTTTTTTAAAAAAGAAACTATAAAGCAAACTATTTGTTATTATTTCCTTTCCTCATTGTCTTAAGAGATCAATGAAGGAACTGCCTTGGATATAATGTGATATAACAGTCAAAGCAATTTAAAACAACATAAAGTCAATATCCCTATTTAGAGTTATCAACCTTTTCTCTTCCTGAAAATCCATGCAAAATATTACATTTGATGCTTATTAACAGAGGAAAGTAAGCAGTTTACAGATTTGAATGAGCAAGGTTTATACTATGGTACTTCCTCTATTTTGTTATACTAGTAAAGTGCACGTGCGATGCACGTGGTGATGAATGATTTTGGCCGATTAAGTTTAATAAATTCAATTAATTAATTTATTAAACATACGATTGCAGGAACAAAATAAATGTTGAACAAATAAACACGTAATGTATTTTTTTGTAAAAAAAAAAAGTAAAATAACATACTGATATCGTAACATTAAACAACATACTACAACCTCAATAAAAATATATGAAAAATGAGTCTTTAATTAAAAAAAACACTAAATAACTAAATAAGGACCTAATGTATGTTATAGATGCATGAGTTATTTTATTTATTTATGTTAGATTCAAAAGTGATTTTCTTTTATTTTGGTTTTGACGTTCTCATAAGAAACATTTATACTCGTTGAAGGCAATACATCAATAGTATTGCAAAATTCTTCTTAATTAATTTGACAAAACATCAGCTTCATTCAACCCTTAAAAATATTTTACCCTAACAAATAATCAAACTTCATGATTGTATGATCATTATAAGGTATTTCTACTAACAGTTCATAAATATCTATGAAATAACCAACTGTGTCATTTAAATTCTTGATATTTTTTTAATCATTGTATAAACTACTACATTACTCTCTCTCTCTCTCTCTCTCTCTCCATATTGACAAATTAGTACATACTCCATGTGGTGGGAACGAATTTCATCTCCAAATAAAAGTTGACTTTTTAAAATCATGTACCTCTTCGAAGACGGTAAATTATTTTTTGAAATCATCACACATTACATGAAAGTATGTACTCTAAAGTAATTGCACATATGATCGAGCACAATACACAATTAAGATTGTAAATATTCTAAATAAAAAAGTGACAACTTATTCAAACATTCAAAAATGTTTTGATCAGAATCAAACGTTTCCTTTTCATTGTTATTTGTTTGAAAGATACACGAATACATAACCTATCATTTACAAACCATTGAATATTTTGGTTATTCCAATGATTTTAGAGTAATTTATCATAATACTTTCCCATTCGTTCGGATTTGCAAAATTTATATCTAGTAACTTATTTTAGCTTTTTGCATCATACAAAATGATTCACAAATTCAAGATAAATATCATTTCTTGATTGTTCAATAATAATAAAACAGAAAAAAAAAAACCAAAAACAAAAACAAAAACAGAAACAAAACAATGAGACAATATAGAGAAGTATATCATTTAACAAAATACTTCAGATGAGAAGAATTTTAATTCTATCATACTATGATACTCTTAGTCATCTGTGAAATTTATTATTATGAAGTCGTTATTAAAGTTTATGGTCTATATTATGATAATATGCAATAATTACTTATAAGAATCAATTTTTTATAGAACATATATTTAAATGATAGCAACAAAAAAAAAGTAGTAATTTTAAAAGTTTTTTTTCTTGATTTTGGTATTCATACTTTTATAAGAAAATTTAAACTTTTTCCTTTCCCCATTGCATTACTATTGTTTTTTTTATTCCCAAATAATATTTATTTGTTGAAAGAATTAAAACACATTTATACGCATTGCGTTTTTTTTACGTGTTTGATTGTAATAATATATTTGATAAAAAAAAAATCACTTTTTAATTATTTATAAGATTAAAAGGTTTTGGATTTTTTTTTCATTATTTGATAAAATATTAAGTAACTAACACATTTTCATATTCCAAAAAGTATATCTTATGTAATTTTATACTTAATACAATTGAATTAACATAGATCTATAATTTATTTTATAAGACACTTTTAGGTCTTTTTATTATTTTAAATTGTTATTGATATATATATATATATTATTTTATATCGATAAAAATAGTTATATTATTTTTATTTTATTTACAATACATTGGTCAAATCAAACATCATTGAAAAGAAAAGATGTAATATTACTTATAAAAGGGTAACAAAAATTATTAATTCTTTCAAAATTAAAAAATTTAATAGTAAAAAGTAATTAATTTTTTAACTAAAAAAATTAAGACTAACATAATGATTTCCGATACAAAAAACTATAATAGTAAAAAGTAATTAATTTAATAGTCTTAATTTTTTTAGTTAAAAAATAATATATATATATATATATATATTATTTTATAAATGTGCATCTGAAGTATGTTTTACATTTATTATTCACCAGCTCCAGTTGATATAGGACATTAATTAATTTTATCATTGTTTTTTTAATTTTGGATGGAATGCGAGCTATAAAATTTTTCATTGTGTAGTCTTACATTTTTATTACGTAGAACACATTCTTACCCCTTGTTTAGCTGTTATAATACTAATAAAATAATTAAAGACTTTTCAACCTAAAATGTGTGAGCTCGAGTGTCAACTTATTATCCTGTTGGGATCAGACACTCGGGTATTATCGGATCTTTTAGTAGTTTTGTGTCTTTGTGTTTTTTTTTGTACTCCCGAGTATTACCCTGTTGGGGTCGGTTCTAGGCAGTCTTTTGACCTGTCCTCCCATTTTATCCAGCTGTTGGCTGGTTGTATTCAGCTGTTGGTTGTTTGTATTCAGATGGTGGCTGTACTTTGCACATTTGTGCGCTTTTATATAAAATCTCTATCGTTTCGGGAAAAAAAAACCTAGAATGTATCTTTTTTTTAAAAAAAAATTACTAATTATCATAAATTAAATGATAATTACATTGAATGTGTTATATTTTGTGTCATTATTGACAATTCTCAAAATAATTAACTGCACACAATATTATATAAAATGCAAAATGTTTTAGTTTCATTTGGAGCCATACTTTTACTGCAAAAAAATGATAATATTCCAATGAAAAATGTTACGGCGGGATTCCAACGACAATTCTAACGAATATTTCAATATTACAATTATGGTTTGAATTATTTTTCAATGAAGATTCTAACAAAAATATTTTGTTGGAATCATGGGAAAATCCATGTTTATCCAATAGTCCCGACACTGGCCTCATCCCAAAACATATAGCATAAGATATGCAACTAAATTATGGAAACATTTTTCATAATTTTAATCATGCCCCTTATTTACAAAATAAAATTAAAAGAAAGCAAGATACATAATGAGTTAATTACAACTCAACCAACTATAATTTAATTCAGTTCATAAATTTGTTAAAGTTATAACATAAACGTGGTATCACAACTAAAGGAAATATGATAGTTATCAAAAATTACAATTTTACGCTCTAATTCTTTATTTTCTTTCTAATCCTGATGATAGCTTATATTCTCTCTTTTTCGTCATAATTTTTTATCTAACTTTAAAATGTATTTTTTAACTGTATGTAGAATTCTAGTTAATTATCGAGTCAACTATATTAAAACATAATTTTTTTGTTCATAAAAAATTTAAAAAAAAAATATTTGTGATGATTTTTCTTAGGTTGAATTGAAAAAAAATATGCTTTAAAAAAATATTATTGAACTTATTGTGATAGTACTAATGTGTTAAAGAAAAGTATTACATATGAAAAAGATGACAAATTATGAAAAGTATAATTTATAAATTGTAATGGCACTATATTATTTTGATGGTATACTTTTTCTATTAATTAAATTGTGCCCCAACATGAAATTAGTTTGGATCCGGCACAACAGTTAGTTTTTCTATGGAACTTCTATTGATTTTTTTATAATTTCACTGACGGTTTTTCCAACGGTTGAAATATGGTCGAAAAAAATTCCAACAACAATTCACAGAACAAGAAATAATGGTATTTGAAATATTAAATCAACAAAAATTCCAATGTAATTTAATTTGATCTCTGTTGAAATAACCAATGATTTTTTTCAATGGAACTTATATCAATGAAATATCTGTTGCAATATCTTACTGTTAGATTTTTCTTTATAATATAGAATTTTTGAATTCTTTCTTAAATATTAAAATTTTTATGTAATAATTTTTGTTATTTATTATTGTATTTAAATTATTTCTATTAAAAATTTACAAAACAATAAATAATGGTAATTGAAATATTAAATCAACAAAAATTCTAATGTAATTTAATTTGATCTCAGTTGAAATAGCCAATGATTTTTTCCAATGGAACTTATATCAATGAAATATCTGTTGCAATATCTTACTATTGAATTTTTCTTTATAATATAGAATTTTTTAATTCTTTCTTAAATATTAAAATTTTTATGTAATAATTTTTGTTATTTATTAATTGTATTTAAATTATTTCTATTAAAAATATATTAAACACATATACTTTTTAGTTCATATAATTTTCTTACTAATCACTCGTCTCTTTATGTCGAGATTACCTATTAATTTCTCAATTGAGTTACTTTTCCTACATATTAATAAAAAGAATTATTACCTATTAACTTCTCATTTGTGTTACTTTTCCTACATCAATCTCTCCGGGTCCTTTCCTTCTAATTTTAATATTGTATTTTATGAAATATGAATACCTATTATTTAAATTTGCAATGCTCATATATTTTGAAGCAGACAAACTTGCAGACTACCGAGTGGAAAAAATTAAATACTATATATGTGTATCAAACTATCCATTTTTTTCCAAATTTTCCAAGTGGTTTCTCTCATGACCATAGATTTCAAACATGGATTTTTACATATTCCTCTTCACATTAGCATCTCTACTGCTGAATTTTAACACCACATTTGTAAGGTCTCGGAAATTCCTGCCCTAACAGAAGGGGAACTGAATTATCCATCTTTCTCGGTTATTCTTGGAAGTTATCCCCTGATTAAAGTTTTGGCTGGAAAACTGAAACCTAATTTGGGCCGTTTTACTGTAATTTCATTTAGCCGCCTTTAGAAATTTTGGAGTTATTGTTATTGCTTTTGAAGGTAACTTCTCATAAAAGAGGAATCTGTTATATGGACCTTCATTATTGATCTTCGATTAAATACATTGGTTATTAGGACTGTATTATTAATATTTAATTATAAAATTAATTTGATAAAGTAAGGTTAATTTAGGTAAAACATATTTTTACAGATTCATTGACTCTTTTATAATAGTATAGATATAGATAGATAGATAGATAGATAGATAGATAGATATAGATATAGATAGATAGATATAGATAGATAGATAGATAGATAGATAGATAGATAGATATGTTGCTTTTCAAAATAATTTTTTCTTTCATCTGTCAATTGCGCAAAGAGTTGCAAACTAACCATGCCTTCAATATCCAATTCTTTGCAATTTACATGGCTTAGTAACTCAATTGCAGATGGAAGTCTCTGGTGGTAAGCAGCAAGCCTAGTCTGCCATTCAAGCTCAGTAGCCGGCACAAACTGCAAACAGGCTTCAAAATTTATCATCACAATAACAATGGAGCAAAAAAAAAAAAAAAACAAAAAGAACAAAAAAAAGAACAAATCAAAACAATCGAAGAAGCTGTAGACCTTTTCCGAATCAATGGCCCTGATTGGTATCACCACTGAGTCACGAATATCAATGGTCTGACTCCCATTTTCAAGCACAAGGTGGCAACCTTTGTCTTCTTGCAAGCCAAGTGGTCTAAAGATGAAAAAAGATTAGAGAACCAGAAGTGGTACGACTCTAATCGACTAACAAATGGGGAAAAAAACTAATATTTGATTAAAGCACATACCTGCAAATCAGACGACCCTCACCTGATGTGATTTATGAAAAGGATAAGATGATGAGAAAATAATTGATCAGCCTAAGCTAAATAAAGCAACTTTGAGTACCAATGAATTGGTTATGTGCTGCTCATGAAGAATACACCACACCACAAACCCGGTGAATTTCCTTCACAATAACTTTGACCGATAATTACCCAATAACTGTCCACTAATGCACTTACCACAAGTATCTCCAGGAAGCCCTTCCAGGATTATATATTCCAGTGTGACAAATCCATTGTTACTATGGAAACCAGTACAGGCTCCCTTAATAACTTTGATTTTCTGACCAGCTGTCCAGTCTTTTCCTCTTCTCTTGATCTTCTCGTGAACCCTGACAACTAGCACAATAGTAAGACATAATAATCAAATTAGTTGAACAGGGACAGAATCATAATACTAAACCAAAAGAAAGGTCAAGTTTACCACTAGAAGAGGGAGAAGGAATCAGAAGTAATGCTCGTGTAAGCTTACCAGTAGAAGATAGTTCAAGTTTTTTTATTTTTGATGGAAGAATAACAAGGGTAGGTTCATCAAGGCCACCATCAACTTCTTCATCATAACGATCGTGCATTTCTAAAACCCAATCTGTGTATTGCTTCTCAAGCTGAGAGAGAGTCAATTTCTTTCCACCTCTACTGATTTCAATTTGCACCTCTGCATGGCGAAATGGTGAAACTTAACATATTTAAGAATTCCATACATTAAAGAGAAATATTCTATCATGTTGCATGCTTTCAACGTGAGGTTTTTTGACAAGTCCAAAAACTTGTTTCCTATATAAGAATGAATAAAGAAATTACCTTTTTCATTTTCAGGTCCTATGTTTCCAAAACCTTTTAATGCGTTGGTGTATGGGTGGTGTTGAGCCAAATCTGTCTGAATTACAAAAATATAAAAATAACGGCCACAGCCATATTCAAATAAAAATAATTAAATAGCTTGTCTGACAAAAAACCCAAATCCCATAGAAAAATACTTAAAGCCACAAACTACATGGGAATCTGTGGATTCCACGGAAAACACAGACAATTATTTTTCAGTTGAGAGTCAAAAGCTTACAAAATATATATAATTTCCAATATTCTAAAATGGTTCAACTGCATACCTTGTGCGGAGTTGGGTTGAAGCCTGAATCTGTCTCTGCAGCCAATAACCATGTCTTGTTCAACATATATATGTTGTAACAGTTGAAAATGAATGTTGCGAGTCCAGATTTACATGGGCTACTTAAATTGCAGAAACTTACCTATAAAGCATTTAACCCTAGAGCAGCATCTTTTGAACATTTGACCCTTTTCACCTTTCTTCGGCTTCGGCACCATAAATGGAAGCAACGCCTGTAGACATCATTACACTATGATCCACAGACAAAATATACTGCTGTGATTATAAATTAAGGTTTACCATTGTTTTTAACTTCAAGACATCTAATACACCGAATCTAAACAAAACAAGAAATATGATTTGTTTCAACAAACCCATCGGGTGTCTGGAAGGAGACGGCCCAAACGCCTTACAGATACACGACTAAAGCTTTCAAAGCTTTCCCTTATCCCACAACCAGCTGAGTTTAACTCCCCAATGATTTTATCAATACTTTCTTCACCCTGAAAACCAACCAGATGCAGAATTTAGTGTGTAAACCATTTTTTATTACTTCTTCACGAGACAAAGATAACAAAGAAATATAACAACACCTCAACAATTGGGAAGTAAACACATGTCAGTCTGGCATTTGCTTCTAGAAGCACTCTTTGACCTGGAGATCTCAAAGAAAATGTTAGAGCTAGTCACATTCGTGATCGTATAAGACACATTCGTGATCGTATAAGACATCCTTACAGAGAAGAGAAGAGCATCACAATTGTTTTTAAGGTAACAAAATACTTGGGCTTACTTTGACCATGCACCAGAGAAGGATCCTGGCTAATGCTAAAATGAAGTTGCAACACAAAGTTTGGACCATTGCATGAATGCCTGTTTGTGGTAGCTACTTCCCCTTCCCATATTTCAGCCAAGTCTTCCCCATTAACCTTAAAGTTATCGCTAGTATTAGAATCACAACATTGTGTGCAATCTATATGTGAAAAGATAAGTGGCTGCAGCTTGCCATTATAGCCCAACAAACTATATAAAATTAAAGATTAGAGAGAACCTAATAAAAAAATCAGTACATTTATAGGAATATTATACTCACCCCCTTCAGTTAAAACTAAATCAAACCTAGTGGTGTTGCCTTTTTTTGGTAGTTTTGAAACTTGTTAAGGTTTTAGAAGACACCACGAATCTCTAAGGTAATATTTGTAATTATCCATTAAAGCTATTTCTGTAACGGACTAAACTCTCGTTTTCGTTCAAGAAAAATCCTCTAGGTTTACAACCATTGATAGACTTGATTAATTAGATCTTGTTCTAGTCATCAGAAATCTCTACATTTTCCCACTCTTTAGTCACTATGGTCTGATCAACAGTCACATATAGCAAAAATTTGATAATTAAACTCTATGAGTTCAAATTTTCAATATAGGGGACCTGTTTTGTACATGCATCCTATTTCATGAATCATTTGATGGCAGAGACAATGCAGATGTCAAAACCAGATACCATAAACATCAAAATGTAATGCTGGAAAAAGTTAGTACAAGGAAATGAAGGGTATTAAACACCCACATCCAAAAAAGGAAACTTGAATGAAAACAAACAAGTATCATTCACCTAATGTAGTAGTAGGAAACAGTTCAAACGTCGTCAACAGACAACGGATAACCAAGATAAATACCAAGAAATAGAAAACACAGTCTAGAAAATGACCTGAAACACCACAGGTCGGCTTGTTTTTCCAGACATTTCATCACACTGTTTAATCAGACAAAAGGGATTAGTAGATAAATCTACAGGGAGCAACATAGAAATGCTTATTTTGCAAAATGATTAAGGAGAAGGATCCATTTAAGAATAATTCAGAATCCTGTTTCTGCATATTACTTAACCAGTAAAAAACAAATAAAACAGTAAGAGCTCTGTGCAATTAAACCTGGATATATGGGAAGTAAATGTCTTTCAGCTTGCACTGCAGATGTTTTACGTCCTGAGTTTTCATTTTAGGCTCAAAAATTTCAACCTGATAGCAAGTATAATGATATTATTAACTGTCAAGTTTTAATTCTTAACTGAACAAGCTTAAAAAACAAATGTTATTAGTATGTAGATAGATCTATTGCTATCCATGTGCTTCTGAAAAATCCTAAAAGCTTACAATATTTGCTAAAGCAGATTGATAAAATAGATATGCATGCTTTAATAGCCTGTGACAACACAGATAAGCACATCTATGATGTTCACTACAAGCTTGTTACCATGATAGCAAGTGATTGAACAAATAAGCACAGCTGTTATGATCAGCAGTTGGTCTATTTCAGGTAATCTACATGCACATCATGCAGTTGAAAGATGTTCAACAGTTTATGAGAATCATGCATTTCAAACACGCTCTTAGTAACTAGAAATTTGAGAAGGTCCTCTACTAATGAGATCAACACCTAATAGAATGACATGCAAAACATATAAAAATTATCATTGTTAAACATATAATCATATGAAAGATAATGCTACAACACTTGAATCATAAAATATTAGATATAGCAAAAGACAGCGACAAAAAGGCTGGTGAAGAAAATAGTTATAGATTCTGAGGGGTAAGAGAATGACCGTGAACCTAGTTCATAAACATTACAAGATCAGGGAAAACCCACCTTCGTGAAGCTCCCGTGAGGGGAGTTCTTCTTTTCATCTTCAGAAGGATCTCTCATCCCTCCTTTCGTCTTAACCAAAACAACATAAACCTTCAGTATGCAGTTAAGAAGAAAGATTAATAAAACCAAAAAGGGGGTGGAATAAGTCAATCACCTTCCAACATTTCTCTGAGCTAGATGCATTCACTAATGCTTCTCTTTCCAAATGTAACGTAAATACTTTGTTGCAATTCTTCGTCTTTGATGAGACAACAGCACGTCTGGGGCAGTAGCAAGAATAAATAAAGATTCTATTCACAGTTTATAGTAGCTATAAAAAATAAAGACAAATAATTACAGAAGCTCTACCTGCCCAGGCACATGGTCGCGACAGGACCCCCATATCCAAACATGCCAAAGAAAGGCTGTGATCCCAAAATAACCATATTAACACAAGACTTCCAGAAATACGTGAAACTTTCTCATTGCCACCCGACACAGTATTACCATGGAAGTCTTATCCAGCTTTCATTAAATCTTAGTCAATCAAAATTTACAACTTCAATTTCATTCAGCTGCAGAAATAAGTTTGCGTAATGTGAACCTAATGAAACTGAAATAAGTACTTTAAGGAAAAGAATACACATAAAAATTCGGAAGGGAGCAGCAAATCTTTCTGAATAACCTGCTAGCCACTTAAATAATACCCTTTATTCTGAAGATATTAATGCCCAGAAACATTAATTGCGTATCACTTTTACCTTCAAGTATGGAGGTTTTCCCCCCACAGCTTGTCCTCGTACTGACCTGTGCAGAGATGCACCCATTTTTCCCCTGGAAAAGAAAATGGACCAGAAAGACAGAAGAAATAATCAACCAACAAATAGTATGAAAGCATGGGAAACTTGTAAAAGCATAAACATATTTCTGCTGCACAGCATAATCATGATGGCATCTGTCAATGAGAATAGATAACTTCAAACTACAGAGGACCAAAAACAGAACAAATTCAAGTTAAAACTATAGGACAACATAACATCTATGTCATGCTTGAATTCACTGATCAAGATCTAATTATACAATTGACAAATTTTCCTACATTCCATCAAACAGATGGGTAAATCCGGTATGAAAGAAGAACAGTAGGAATAATAACAAAGAAGTACTACAAACACTTCTGAACTAGCGATGGATTTATTGATTGCTGGTTTAGCGTTGACAAATATGGGAACTTATCTCAACTCCTAAAGTTAGCTACACAAGGCTATAAAGAGAAGAAAAATGATTATCAATCTATTGTCTAGAAAAGGTGACAATGTAAAGTATCTTACCACTTAACTAGATTCCCATCAGTGCCATCCATTCCTGGTCCGGAATCAAAAATGGAAATTTTTTCTGTATGCCATTCCACACTGCAAATACACAAATTAGTGATCACCTAAAAATATGACCACTTAATACATAAGGCATATGGTGCTTATGACTGGATAAGGACTTCAGCAATTTCTCCCTGAACAACATTGCAGCAGAACCACACATAATCAGGGTCTAAAAACGCTCCATATGCTGGAAAAAACTGCTTAGTCAATTCACTTTATAGTTCATATCAATACTCTCTTTAAAGAGGGATAAGTAAATAGGATACAGTAAAATTTGAAAGAATCAATTGCCCTGCAGGTAGAATTCTTGAGGCTTTCAACCCATATGGAAAGAAGAATGGATTTTTATTATATTGCATTCCAATAAAACTTTTCTGGTGTATATCCTTCAAATCGACATATTTTCATGATTTTACTACACAAATTTTCAAGATCCAAAAAGGCAAGTCCATAATGGCTTGTCACGTTTAATAGTTTGTTCCCTAGAGCATCTCATCTGCTGATATTATTAGATATGCAGGACAAGGACTTAAAATGCACAGTCATACCTTATAAATTTATCATCTCCTCTCCCATTAGACCACAAAGCTTGCAAGGAATTATCCTGATAAAAAATATAAATGGATTTAGTGCCCCATTGTTAATATCAAACAGAGAAAACAAAAATATCACATGCTCACGATCAAGTCTGCAAGCGCAGTTTCAAATGTATAGTCATCAGGTAGCTCCTTCAATAAATCGGTATCTGGAGTAAGATCCCACATGCCCTGTATAGCAAAAACAGGAAAAAATCAATAACAGCACCGCCCCTTGTGTCCTTAAGAGGGCCTCGATAGTCCCTACATCATAGGACAACAAATGTCCGAGACCAAATTGCGAGCGTACCTCATATGCATCCGGTTTCGCTGACCCGTCCTACAGGAAAGAATGAAGATGATATAAACTCATTGAAAAAAAAAATATTAATCAGAAACAACAAAACTTCCAAAACAGTAACAACAATAACAGCTTACATGAAGGCATAATATGTGCCACTGGTTAGGTGGCAAATTGTGGAGATCAATTTTAACACTGAGCTTCTTTGCATCCACACCCATAATATGAAGGTCCGGGTACTTCCAGTTAATTTCTCCCTTCAGTTGTTCTGAACTTCTTTGATTTACGACATTGAAATATTTTCTCTTCACGGCATCTAGAAACTGCTTTATTGGCATTTCATTCCTCTGCTCACTAATTTTAAGCTCGAGAGTCGTGGCATTTGGCATAAGTATGCGAAACTTATAAATCTTTGTCTTATTAAACAGACCATCTTCGACTTTCACATGTCCGAATGGACTCTTTCTTGGCCTCTCTGAGCTGGAATCTTCTAGAGGCCTCTTGCTCGCTGCTTTGTGGGGTGTATTTGAATACATCTGTCACCCATCAACAAAATCGCACCAAATAAGTTTATTACTCAAATGTTTAGTGGAAAGATCAAGACCCATGCCAACAAAACTCATACCACACCTTAACAAATTGAAAGATGATAAGAAAAATTGAATCCCCTCTCTCTCCAGATCACAATCCTCAACCAACCCACTGAAAATAATTCCTTACAGAGCAGCTATACGACCTCCAAACCAGCAGTAACAACTTCAGACATATGATATGCGCATCTGTTTACACTAATATCAGCACATTGGCACAAACCTCGACATACAAACGTTTGTCATCTTCGTCCTCCACAAGTTTTCCATGGNCTCTAAAAGACGATCATATAAAACACACAAAAATATCGCTCTAAAAAATGAACTTGTTGTGGAAATCAGCTTACATTTTTACTTAGAGGAGCAGAGGGAAACCCATGAAAGCTCGAAATTTGAAGCCTTGAGCTGTCCTTCTTCTTCTTTCTAGTGCTCGGATCAGATTTGAAAGAGATGAAGATAAATACTGCGTGTGTATGTGGGAGTGCGTGTGTGTGTGTAAAGTGGTAAAATACAGTGAGAAGTGGAAACGACAGCGGCAAAAAACAGTGGAAATTGAAGCGACGGGCCCTTTTAAATTCTGTTTTGAATAAAACAAAAAATAAAATAAGATTAAGTTGCATATAAAAAAATACAAAAAAAAAAAATATATCATTAATGTTGGATTTTGATAATTAAATAAAAAATATTAATTTGTGTTCAGACGGTTTATCCGATTAACTTTTGTGTTAAACTCACCACGCACTCACACGTAGAATTATTAAAAAGAATGAAGCGTTCGTGAGGTCATTGCCTTCACTCCAAAAATCTTTAAATTAAAACTAATTTCTACCAACTAGACCAATTTTGCTACTTGGCTAAAAAAAATTTAAGTAGCATATACAAAATGTCACTTCCAAGTTTTGTTGACCATTTTTCCCATTGATAATAGTTAAATTAGAGGTGTAGTGTAAACGAGGAGTCGCCTCGAGCTCGAGCATTTAATGAGTTGATCTGAAATTAACTATTTAACTAATGAATTCAAATTCAATTAATCTGTCAATATTAACGAGTTGAGTTCAAGCATAAGTTAAGTTTTAGGATTTATGTACAATTCCGTCACGGAATGATTCCGTGAAGGATTTTAGCCATCAGATAAAATAACTGTAGACAATAATTGTATATGTGATGGCTAAAATCCCTCACGGAATCATTCCGTTACGGGATTGTAGACAAATCCTAAGTTTTAAGAAGATCAATTATACAAAATTATATGAAAAAAATATATTTTATGTCTTAACGAATCCAACTAAACTCGAACCTTAATTAAAAGAGGCGCGACATAGATAATCGGTTTTGACTGACAGTATAATATTTAATTATTTATTACAATTTTTTTTTATCAAAATTCAACTTAATTAACTGATATCAATCAATCAATGTCACAAAATCACATCAGTTTTAATTCACTATTCATTCACTCACATTTTAACTCATCTCGTACTCTTACATCACATCAACTTTAATTATTATATTTAAAATATTATTTAAATACACACTCAAAATCTCACTTAATCATAATTTTTCAAATTTATTCCACTTAATCAAATAAATATTCTTAGGGCTTGTTTGCTTGCAAAGTATGGACTAATTTAATTTTGTGTTTGTTATTCTTGATATGTGGTTAGGACAAGATAATGTTATAGGCTCCTAACAGTTGACTAGTACATATCTCGTACGATGCACAGGACAGAAATATTAAATGAGTTATTTTTCTAGTCTTGATTCGTTTAGTCTAAAAATTAATAAAAGTATCATCTATTTTCCACCTCTCTTTTAATGAGCTTTAAGTCTATAAAACAATAAGGATATAATCATGTTTAATTATAAATATTTATGAAATTAGTATTTAGTCAAATAAATAATCATAAGTATTTTAAAAGTGAGGAATCGCCAGTTCCAATTAATCAAAATACATAAAGAAAATTGTATAACATAAGGGAAAATACCAACAAAAAGGCGATTGAAAATTTTATGAGATAAAACAAATCTATACTTATCTTTGACTTTTCCAGCAAAGGTAAACAAATCAGTTCTGATTTTTATACCATAATCAATCTTTAATGTTAAGCATATATAAATACCAAAACAAATCTATAATTAATTTCATTCTATTTCTAACAATTATTAATTACTTTTAATTTTTCTACTTACTATTTCTAATAAATAGAATGATTTTTTATATAGTATAGATTCGTTTGATTACTTAACGGGACATACAAGGTGATGCAACTTTTATGATTTTTTTTTTTTTCCTTGGTGGACAAGAAATTGCCAAAACCAGCCCCTGTGCCATTGGCCCATAGAGGACAAAAAAGGTGTACCAACTACCAATAAAGGCTTTGAGCAGAAATTGGCGGGAGCGGCTGACGAGGGCAGTGGGACCCATGACGATTTGATAGGTTCGCACGCTAAGTAAAGATAAAAATGTCCTTCTCTGGCCATGTGGGCTTAAGCTTCAACTGTTCACCCTAAACGAAATATGTATGACGGGGCTAGGTAAATTGGGTTGAGCCCAATATGATGTAGCTTCACAATACACGGTTTCCTATCAGTCCGGCCCAAATAAAACTGTGTGAAATGCTGTGTATTCGAAGATGCTAATAAGAGTGTGTTAAACAAAATGAATCGTTCGTAAGTTCGGATCAGTCGTTCGATAAATAAATGAAGTTTGAGCTCGAGTGCGTTTAACACTTTGTTAGATTTAAATAAAAGCATTTTTAAGTAATTTCAAAATAATATGGCTAGTAAATTAGCTTGACTCGTAACATAATAATAGAACAAGGTATTTATGTATACAAGTATGATGAAAGTGGAAAAACTAAAAATAAAATATAGGTGTTAGATGTGATATATCAATGTTGGAGTCAAAGGCTCAAGCTTTGGTCAAATGCGCAGTGGAATTTATGTAAATATGGGTACTTTTGATTTTTCACACGAAGACATTTTCATCAATTCGCAAAATATTCTCGTACGCTTGTGTAGTTTTGAGAACCACTAAATGTGCAGGCGGTGGCAATTATGTAGTTTTATAAAATACAACGGTATTTTTAAGGTGTATATCCACATGTAATATTGTGCATTTAACTTATAATTATCGTGCAGTTATCTAACTTTTAATAAATTAAATATTCAGCCAATACCTAAATTGCAATATAATATTTTTTTAAATTGCAAATAAGTCCTTAGGACTAATCTAACAAAAATTTGTCCCCGTTCGTGCCCAACGCGCAACTCCCCGTCCTTGCTTCCAGCGAACCACCTGGCCATCCTCACCCTCACGAAGACCTCGTCGATCGACCTTCTCCTCACGAAGATGGCCACGAGCCGTTTGGCCTTCATGAAACCAACTTCACCCGGTGCTCAACACAGGTGCCGACTAGCCCGAGGGTTCCAACAGCGAGAAGATCATCTCCATGCATAACTTGGAGACGGAGAACATGTCACTGCTGCCTACGTCAGACGGTGTCAGGGCCTCCGCGAACGAGGTCATTTTGTCCTCGGTTCCACCACAGGCGGGGTGCAAGTCGAGGACCATCCGTACGGAGGGCTTGTGTGTGTGTGTGAGAGAGAGAGAGAGAGAAGTGTTGGGAAATGTCCAATATACAATTTATTAGTTAATAATCTTGACTTTTTTGTCATTGTATTATAAGTATAACGCATTCTTATTTATTATACTAGCAACCATTTTCAATAGGACATACCCCTACATAGACATACATCCTTGAAAAAATGAATTAACTTATACAATAATGATAACAATCGATTCTTAAGAATTTTGCTCAAATGTGTGAAACTATATCTATCTTTTTAGCATGCACGTTACTATTTGATTATTCAATTAAGAATAAATAAAGACTCATGAAAAGACTACCTAAAAAAGGCAAGATATCATAGCATGTGAAATTATGCCAAGGACCTCAATTAATGAATTACATTTTCCCCTCAATTTTTTTTTTTAACCAGTCATAAAATTACTTATAATGAAAATAAATGCACAAATAAAGTGACAACAACTTATCACCGAATTCCATCAAATAAACCAATCCCATGAGTTGGGTTGACAAGAGTCATTCAAAGTCTCATTTTCACTAAAATGGTAGATTTTCTCTTTTTGCACCATTTATTTTTTTTCTTATGTTGCAAGCTAAAATTGTCCATTTTATCTAAACTAGAGAAACTTCAGTAATATTATCACTTCAAATTTTATGCACAGCTCGGTAATCTTAAAAAAGAACTTAAGTTATATATCAATTCCTTCATCATTGACTCCCATAAAATTAAGCTATTAAAATATCAATAACCAACCCTTTTATATATCTCGTATGATAACAACTCATATGTTAAAATTGTAACGTAATACTATAAAAAGATATAAACAATAGAATAACATTTTGTAACTTGAGCATACATTTTTATAAAGTTAATTATGGCTGATCGACCTACCCGATTATTGGTTTGTTCAACACAATAATTTGTGAATTTATCATATGAAGTTTGTATTCGTAGTGAAACTATACATCTGTAATACAGAAGTCAATTCCAGTAGTACTATTCATTTTTTAATAGTTTGACCTCCATTTATTTAATACAAAAAGGCTTCTCTAATATATATAATATGTTTCTTGTTATAGAATCTTTTAAGGTAATGCAGAACAAATCAAGGAGGTTGAGGATAGATTTTGGTTATTAAGCTATAATCAAGTGCTAATGACATTTTTCTTGTTTTAGGTAGTGACCTATTCTTCATTATGACTACAGAATAGTAACACGTACCAACTCCCAAAACAGAATTAGAAAAAAGATGGAAAATTTTAAAAAGCACTCCCCAATTATGGATATTTATAAAAAATAGTAATTTTTGAATTTATTCTATTTACCTAATTTGTAAAATAGACCAACTCAAGGACAATTTTTAGCTGAAAATCAAAATTGCAGATTAAAAATAATAAGTCATCCACACGGACACTTCAAATTTACAGCCAAGATTCGAATTTCAGACTTCACAATCAAAATTATGTATCACGATACAATAACTACTATTCAATCGAATTTCAGACTTCACAATCGAAGTTATGTATCACGACACAATAACTAGTGACCAAATCAGCCAAATAGATGAACTTAACAAACGAAAAAATATTACTATACCAACAAATTAACACAATACCGAATAATTTACACATGTCAAAGTGACGAGAATCATGACTCGTTATTCCTTATTAATGAAAAATTTGACAACTGTCTTCACTATTTTTTTTTTATTTTTGTTCTTTTTATAATATAGAACAATATACACGTGTCAAAGCTCAAAGTGACAATAATCTTTTGTCGTTATTCCTTGAAGAAAAAATTCAACCACAATTTCACTAATTTTATTACTGTTGGATATTACATGCTCGTATACAGCCGTTGGATGAAAAAATCGACAGTTCCCATCATTTGTAAGGTCGAATTTACCCTTTAATTACGTATATGAATTAATTAATAATTATGAAGCCCTGGTGGAGAGGGCAACTGACACGTGTAACCATCTCATTGGCCATACCCAACTGTACACGGCGTACCCCTAAAAGCCCCTCGTGAGCATGATTAATGGCATGATTGGTATGATGGAATGACATAGGAATGGAATGGTCATTCCTTTACTCATTTCTTATCCCATGATTGGTATATTTTTTGAGAAGGAATGACCATTCCAATGGGAATGGCAAAACCCATATCCATGGGATTAGCCATTCCATAGTAAATGGAGGGTTTTCTCATTCCCATGTGTGTAGGAATCAATTTTTCAAAAAATAAAATTAACAAATAATAATAAAAAATAAATATATAATATATATTATAAATCATGATTAAAATATATTAAATAAAATCATTTTAAACAAAAATTCAAATAAAAAAATTGAAAACTTACTTTTATTTATTTTTTAATTAGATATATTAAATACTTATATAAAAACAAAACTTAAAAAAGTATTTATATATAATTTAAAAATATATTATTTTATTTTTATATATTATTAAAAATATATTATTTTTTATATATTAAAAATATATTACTTTTAAAAATATATTATTAAAAATATATTATTGAAAAATATTAAAAATATATATTATTAAAAATATATTACTTTATTTTTAAATATTATTAAAAATATATTATTTTAAAAAATAAAATTCAAATAAAAAATTGAAAACTTACTTTTATTTACTGTTTAATTAAAAAATAAAATATATATTATTAAAAATATATTACTTTTTATTTTTGAATATTATTAAAAATATATTATTTTTATATTATTAAACAATATATTATTCTATTTTTATATATTATTCAAAATATATTATTAAAAATATATAATTTTATTTTTATATATTATTAAAAAAGCACTTATATATAATTTATTAAAAGTATATTATTTTTAAAAAAAGCTTTTATTATTTTTATAATAAAAAATGATAATGTCATTCAATTCTAGTCCTATTCCTTCTGCATACCAAACGCATCAATGACAAAACATGTTTCATTCCATTCCCATAATCATTCCATTCTTCAATTCATTTCATTCCTATGAAATTCCATTCCATCATACCAATCATGCCATAAATACTAACGGCAAATTGCGCGGGGCCATCAGTTTATCTTCGCCTTTTTTTTCCCACTTAATCTCTCTACAAAATTAATATATAGACTGCTACACAAATACTGCGTGTTTATCTACCGCCTTTTAATTTCCCTTAAACTCCGTCACGTGTTTCTCACTGCTTAAAAGTGTGTGAGATTTTTCACTTTTAGATTCAATGTGACGAGACAAAAGATAAGCTATTGATCTATTGGGCAGGTTTGCTTTGTTTATTTGATGATCACTGTCTAAACTTTGGATCCTTAATTTCTACAAGTTTTCAATTTTTGTTTGNNNAAAATTCGGTTGTGTTGTGTTTGTTTTGTGATTAGGTGGTAAGAATTTTGGCCGGAGATGGGGAAGAAGAGCGGCGGGAGCGGCTGGTTTTCTACTGTGAAGAAGGTTTTTAAGCAATCTCCGGCCAAGGATTCGCCGGAAAAGAAGGTTAGTTGAATCCCAATTTTCTATTGATAAAATGTATGTTTATGTACACAAATATTTTGATCACATAATGGTTGATTTAATTGGGGAAGACAAATGATTATAGCTCACTTGTGTTCTAAATTACATGTTGATGTCCAAATAGATTTTATATTTCACTTTTTAATGCATGAGTCTGCGTGCAGATATCATATGTGTACTTGTATTATTCGTAATAATAAAACAGGAGATTAGACAAGAGATCAGACCATTTGCATATACATTGGAATTCACCAATTTGAGTAATTCCTTTAAAAACCTATCTTTCCTCTAACTCTCTTTGTTCAAACACCATTATTCGGCATTGAATGTCATTAAATCTCACAATTACTTGTAGATGAGGGACTCTTTGACTAATTCTATTTATTTTTCTTAAAATCCATTTGTTTGAATCAAATATTCTACATTGACAAGACCAATTACTAGCTAACAAATAAAATCCAGTGTGACAATGTGCCACTTAACTACCATATTAGTTGCCTAATTTTGGGATTAGTAGCAACACACTAACCGGCATCCTTGGAAAATGTACCCATATCAAAAACCTGTTGACCCGTGGACTTGACCCATATTTAATAAGGCCCATCAGAGTTTGGGCCACAGTTATGGTCCCCCTCATCAATAAAGGCCGAAGAAAAACAGATGGGGCTTTGGATTAAATTGCTGTCTTTCCCAACCATCTTTAGTGCCCATCACATCAACATACATTCATCATGTGCTGCTTCTTGTTCGATCTCTTTCGTACCCATTAGCATGTGAGTAGTTTGGCCTTAATCTTAGAAAAAGTGAACATAAATTACCACAATTACTTAAAAATGGGCTTATAACACTAAAACGATGTTTATATTGTTATGAGATTTGAGTAAAAAGAACTTAATTAGGCCCAATATGGTTTTGTTGACTTTCAGAGATGTAGACGAGTCTAATCCGCTTCGAGTTTTTATTGAAATGAGAGCATTTACAATGCTTTGAGTTCATTCAAAAAAAATTTGCATGCCACATAAAAAATAGATTCAACCTAAAAAATATATTTTCCAATGCAAGTGCAATTAGACCGAGCTTTGCTGATATGGCAGAGAAAAAGAGACTCGGTCTTCCCTAAAGTCTATTTTGTATTCAAGTAAAAACTCGATCTATTTACATTGGAGTAAATTATGTTATATTTACATAATTATGTCTATGTCATCAAAGACTTGAGTTTTTCTACATGCACGAAAAGCAAAACTAGACCCAAAACATTGTAAATGCTCTAAAAGAACTCTAGCTCAATTTATTTTTATCAATGTTAACAAATCAAACACAAAACTTAACGAGTCGAGACAAGATAAAAATTCAAAAAATCCAATAAAATAATCTTTTATTCATTATTAACGAGTCAATATCGATTCGACTAGTTAACTAAATGAGATTTAAATAAGCTACATTTGTTTCTAAATAAGTCGAGCTTGGTTTATTGGGCGTGATTGTAAATGAATGCCACCGACCAAAATCATTCCCGTCTCTCCCCTTTTTTCATATACTAGCTGAGATCGGTATCACGCATTTCAGCCTTCCGGCTAGCCAACCCCTTCTCGATTGTACAGTACATATCCCAATCAAAACTCAAATTTAAATCTACTTTAAATCAACTCCACTATCTTCAATATTATCAATATAATTAAATAATACAATCAATCAATCATTATTACACATCACATCAACTTTAATTCACTATTCATCCACTAAAATAATTTTAATTAACCACACTTCCAATCATTTTCTCCTACTTTTACATCAAATTAATTTTAATTATTTTAATATATCCATTAACAACTAGCCATACTACTTTTTTTTAAACTTAACTATAGTTAACCAATTTTTTACTAGTTGAATTCATATCCAATCACCCGTTTGTTTAACAAATCTATAGGTAAGCGCACCTGCATCGCGGGAATTATTTGCCCGTTTAAACGCGCCACTCCCGTTCAATATGGATGTGAGGCATCCATTATATGGGGGGCCCCATTTGGCTGTTCATTGCATTGAACGGCTTGGTGTCAATTTTTTTTGTTTTGTTTTGTTTTGTTTTGTTTTTAATTAATTATTTTTTTTATTTTGTAATCTTAATTTATGTCTTTTTAAATCTGATAATATTTAGTGTATTTAAATTTAAAATTAAATATTTTAATTAAAAAATATATTTATTTTGTTAATAATAAAATATGAAAATAGTATTGAATGAGTGGATGATGGGTCTCATATGTTTGTGTTTAAATGAATGATTGAATGTGAGTGTGTGTTTAAATGGAGAGATGTTTAGTGGAAAGATGATGTGGAGGTGATGTGGAAGAGAGAGTGTAAATTGTGATTGAATGAATGTTAAGGGATGTAGATGACTAAGGGTTGGAAAAGACAAAAAAAAAAATAAAAAATAGGAACACAAAAAGGGAGTCGATTGTACTTGAAATGAATGTAAAACGATTTTCGCATTATTTCAAAGACAATTGGGACTGATTTATATTTATGGCCTCTGAGCCAGGTCTAAATCTAATTCTTGCCCAATTAATTTCTTATTCTAATGGATAAATATTTCAGAAAGAAAGCGTAGAAAAATGGCAATTCGAAGTACCAGAAGTCGTGTCGCTGGAGCATTTTCCGGCCGAAAGTTCGCCGGACGAGACCAACGAGGAGAGCCTCCGGTCGTCTCCAGCAGAGGATCCGAACCACGCTATGGCGGTGGCGGTGGCCACCGCCGCCGCCGCCGAGGCGGCGGTCGCGGCTGCTCAGGCGGCGGCTAAGGTGGTCAGGCTAGCCGGCTACGGGCGCCAGTCCAAGGAAGAAAGGGCCGCTACTCTTATACAGTCTTATTACAGAGGTTACCTGGTAAAATTATCTCTGTTTACATCATGTTTCTAATGTTAATCTCATAAATTGTGTGCAATTAGAAAAAAATAAATGACTAAATGAGTGAAAAAGATTATTTGAGATTGCTAATTGAGTTAAATGATTATACTATCAAATGTAACTTTTATTCATGTTAGAGCATCTTGACTTTTAACATTATAAAAAGTCATCCATATCATCAACTTTTGAAATGTGTTATTATTTTTTTCTTCAGTGCATCTTGTCATGAACTCTTTCGTGAAAGGTGAATGTCATTTAATGTTTGACAATATTGAACACACTTTCTAATATCTAATATCATGTTAAACATGATGACTCATCAATTTACTTTATATTTGTTTTTTTTTTTTTTATCAATAAATTATTTAATTGGTCCACCTATACAAATAACTTCTTATCAAATTCTTATCAAATTGATGCATTGAAGATAATAGTTTTATTCAAATTTCTAGTCTTTTAACATTATTTCAATGTGGATTAACATTACAATCACTAATTGACATGTGTTAAAAATAATGGTCTTTCAGACCCGTAGCAGCATTGGAGATGCTCTTAGTACAGTATTTTCGAATGAAAGTTAATATACTTGTAAAAAAAATATGTCGATTTAATAGTCAGGCTATTCTCCTAACATATGCAAGTTAATAGAGTGATTTTAACGTTACAAATGAAGTTCAACAATTAATATGTGTGGCCTTAATTAGCTCAAGGTGTTACAATCGACCATTGTGTAAATTTATCGACTAGTAAAATTGTTTGTTAAATGTAGGCTAGACGAGCTTTACGCGCTTTGAAGGGCTTGGTGAGGCTACAGGCCCTTGTGAGGGGCCACAATGTGCGCAAACAAGCCCAAATGACAATGCGGTGCATGCAGGCGCTCGTGCGCGTGCAGGCCCGAGTTCGAGCCCGTAGGCTTAAGTTGGCCCACGACAAGGACAAGGCCCAAATCGCCAAGTTGGAGTATGAAGAACATATGTTTGAGGAGGCTGAAAAGAAGAGGTATCAAATGAAGAATGTGGATTACGAGCAATGGAATAGAAGGAATCATGGGAAAGTCGGAGAAAGTCGATCAAGAAAGGCGCATGATCCTGGGTTGAAAAAGGATAAAGCTCTTGCATATGCTATGGCTTACCAGGTTTTGAATCTTTTAATTCATTTCCCTTTTTCCCCACATTTTTCTTCTTTTTTACATGACACAATCGAAAGTTTATGTTCCTCTCGCTATAGTGTTGTTCAAATTGAACTCTAGATTCTCATGCCCGAGCTCAAGTCTTTACTCATGCTCGGTTCGTTGATCAAAATTAACGAGCTGTGCTCGATTTTTAACAAACGAACTTGAGCTTTACTAAGTCAAATTAAGGTAATAGTTCATAAAGTTAGCGTAAATGAGCCTACCTAAGCGAGTTGTACAATAAGCTTGAACTTGACTCATTTATGAAAAACCCGATCTCACGAACTGACTCATTTGTTTTGTTTAATTATTGATGATGCTTACAATAAATTTATAATTCATTATTGCCTTTTTTTGTCTTCAACAGCAACGAATGTTACAATGTGATCCCATGAACGAGAATTTCGACCTCGGGCCCAAGTGGGGGTGGATAGAGGCCCAACCGGCCCAACATCGGCGAAGGGCCCGACAAAAGGCCACGGATAGCATGTCCGAGAAAACAGTTGAGATGGACCTATTCATCACGTTGGGCTCGGAGGATGTAAGCATGGGCCGTCTCAGTGGAGACTGCATTGAGTCGAGCCCACACTCTTCACGAAAGCCTCGTAGATCGGGCTTGGACGATATCCCTAGCTACATGGCCCAAACCCAGTCCGCGAAGGCAAAGGTGAGGAGCGAGGGCCCGATTAAGCAGCGAAGCCCACAATGGAACTCGTCGACCAAGAAAGGGAGTGGTATTGGGCTGGGCTACGAGTCTTCAAGCTCGGGTGGAGGTACAGCTGCTTATCAGCCCATGAAAAGCCCACATAAGAAGGATAATAATCGTGGGCTGGCTAAGTGGATGTACAGCCCGGAGTCCAGCAGTGAGGATAGGACTCTGGCTTTGGGGGCCCAAACTTGGAGGCATAATTTTGGGTGACTTGGAAGTTTGTTGTGTGATGAGGCCGTTTGTGTGTTTGTTAATATGATGTTAATTTTATAATTTTGTGTAATAATGTTGGTGAACCATCTTTAAATGCATGGAACTCGAAACTCATATTTTGCATCCACACTCCATACTTGATCTTTGTTCTTTGATTGATGTATAATTTTTTTCGCTTTTGTTTGTTCAGCTAAAATTATCATTGGAACTGAAAATAAAACAAAAGAAATGTACAACTAATATTGTTTGTTCATCTCACGTTCTCTCCATGAATCCTTGTAACAAAATTAAAAAACAAAACAAAATTATTATTATTATTATTATTATTATTATTATTATTATTATTTATTATTATTATTATTATTATTATTATTATTATTATTATTATTGACAAACGCTATATATCAACACATCTATTTTTTATATCAATTTTATTAATTAATATTTTATTAATTTTATATTATATTAACACAATAAGTATATTTTTATCGCATTTTCATTCACGATCTTTAATATATCTAACTTTTTCTTCTTTTTTTTTGTTTACTTTTCATTTCGTTTTTCCAGATCAAATAAATGTTCTTTAAATAAATCTTATATCGAATCCCACAATTCAACTTTACAATTATATTTGATAGTTCAACTTAATGTTACACACATTGCCATGCATTTCCCACTAAAATAATTTTAGGGGTAATATTTCCATTGGTAGAAATTGGATCACAATGTCAAAGAAAAATTGTCCACAATTGGCTCGCATTAATTCTGTTCAGTTTAGTCCCACATCGAGTACACAACAAGGAGTTTGTGGAAATTGAAACTATAAATAAAGGACACTGGGCTTCGTATAAAAGCATCTTTGCGCTTGGGGCAATGACGCAGCTAGTGAGGTTCTAACCGAGGCGCGTCTATTGCTGGTTGAAAACTATTTCCAAACCCCCTCTTGGGCCTGGGCTTGACCCTGGCCCTCGAGAATTTCTGGAAGGGCTCCCTTTAACGAGGGTAAAGCCCTACAATTTCTAGTCAAAGTTTACTCCATTGGGCCTGTAACCTGGACCTGACCTCTGGCCATTTGGGCCTTTTGTAGGTTTTTCAAATTCTGCACAATCGACTACTCATGTGACTATATAACCAAATCATGCAAATTATATTTAAAATTTTGCATCTCTATGATTATAAATCTGGAACAATATAATCTCTAATACGAAATTTTATTTCAGATTTAAAATTTAATATAATGTATGTTGTGCTGTTTCAAAATTTATTGTGACAACTCAATTGCTGACCAAGATGTATTTTCTTTAGTTTGACAACTAACAAAATAGAAACAAATTCTGTTGCAACTCATGCTCATTTTTTGTAGTATCATTTTAGTAATTGTCTTTCATTAAGTTTGACAAATGCAGAATTTTATGGTTGTTAGGTGACATTTACAAATATACAAATTCCAAACGAAGTTGACTTTATCTATTTCACAAATATACCAATTTCTCACGAAGTTGACTTAATCTATTTCACAACGAAAGATTTGTTTATTCAATTGAGAAGCAACCATCTTAATCTTAATAATGTCATTGAGCATTAGGTATTATTCTCTTGTTAGTTACAGCATGAATACGTGTCACAAGGGCATGTACAACAAAAACATGGCTTGTTATATTTGATTAGTAGTTGGACAATAGCGTCATTTACTTTGCTTGATAGGATAGAATAATGAAAATTATCTTTGTAAAACTAACGTTTACTTCACATGACATGGATAGGATATAACTTGTGTGGCGTACATAGGGTAGCGGGGCCCGCACAATAATCATCTATTAGGCCGAAATTTCATTTCGGGGGGACCCCAATTTTTTTTTATCCTTTTTTAAAAATGTCCATTTTGTCCTTAGAATTTTTAATCCCGTAATCTAAACATAAGACAATATGTCGACGTGTAAAGTTGGTTGAATTATTTTGTATAATGCTATCAAGCAAAGTATTAGTATACATTTTTCAATGAAAATATACATTTATATTTACTTGTGTAGGTGGGGATCCAATATTTTCTGAATCTTTATATTTATCTATACACGTGTAAGAAAGTAATACATTCTATTATTATAACATAGTAAATTGTAGAAAAAAAATGATATCTCCTAAATTGGTATAAAACTGAAACATGATGAGGTTGATGTAACGGAATGCGATAGGACAAGTATTATACAAACCTAACCGTAATATATAATATTTATTTAATAATATGCATATTTCATATATAAGAAACATATTTAAAAACTAAAATAAATAATAGCACCTCATTTGATAATAAAAGTATATATATTTTTTTATAAAATATAACAAGTCAAATCGTTAGTCTACCTCAAACAAATATTCATCATGAGCATTGGGTTGGATAAATACAGTAAAACTTATATTAGACAAGCCTAATGTTATATAGTTACATTTTTTGAATATATATGCATGTTTTTTTTTTCAAATATATATGCATGTTTTAAAATTACAATATCATACTCTAAAAAATAATATATGGCCCTGCAATCTGCAAAAAAAATAATATATGAAAAATACAAAATTTCATTATATAGGTATACTGAGTGACACAAAGACTCACCTAATTAAATACGACGTGTCCAACAAATATTACGGTTAATTTAATTATTGAACTTTGATGATGCAAAATTATAATTATGCCTTTTCATAAACAGATAAAAATGGAACAAAAGACAGAATAGAGAGACATTTTCCCTGTAAAAGCGGAGCGAAATACCCGTTTTTGGCCGGTGAAGGTGACAGCCAGCCCACCTTCTCCCCTTTTTTCCGATGGCTCAATCCATTTTCTTCCCCAAACACTAGACTACAAAAAATGTCCCATTTCCTCTCTCTCTCGATCCCCGTACAAAATCACCGGCGACAAAAATAGGGTTTCTCCCTTTTCAATTCGTGGGTTTGGATTGGATTTTCGGATTTGTTTTTTCCCCACGATGATTCCCAATCCGGATCTGGTCCACTACGCCTGCATCGCGAGGGGCGCCACCGTGCTCGCCGAGTTCAACTCTCGTGACGCCGCCCTCGGCGCCGTCGCCGCCAGGTGCCTCCTCCACGCGCCGCCGCACCACGCCGCGTTCAGCCACACCGTCCGGTCGAGGACCTACGCCTTCCTCATCGACGCGCCGTTCGTCTACTTCGCCATCTCCGACGACCGGCTGGAGACCTCCGAGGGCCAGGCGTTCCTCCGGAGCGTACGCGACACGTTCCGCCGGGTCTCCGCCGCCGGCGGCCGGCGGAAGCTGGAGCGTATCTCTTCCCACTGCTTCCAGGGCGAGTTCAACCCGGTATTCCGCCAGCTGCTCGGCCCGGCCCTGTACCACACGGACGGGATCGGGTCGCCCTCGCCCAGCGTGGGAGGGTCCGGGTCGGGTCAAGTCGGGCGCGGGTTCGGGGCCGACCAGAAGGCGGTTCGCAAGATGAAGAACAGGTTGCTCGGCAAATTTAACGGGGAAAAGGAGAACGATGAGAATGGGGGGAATGGAATTGGTTTGAGCCGCGAATTTTCACTCGTCGTGAATAAAAACGGGGAATTATACCCTGTGCAGATGGTCCAGCAGCACCAGAAGGCGAGGAAAATCTGGAAAAAGCACGTTTGGGTCGTTTTGTCGCTTGACATGATCATCTGCTTGATATTGTTCGGTGTTTGGCTTTGGGTTTGCAGTGGGCTTCAATGCATGGAGAGCTGAAGAAGAAGAACGCATAAAAGAAACAACTTTTAATTTTTTTGCAAGAAAAGAGGGATTTTCCTTTCAACCGGTAATGTTTTTAAATTCCAATGCAACAGTACAGGATAAGTTGGTTCATACACACAGATGTATCTATATAATTACAGTTATGCATATGTATGGTCTATTGTTGTTTATTTTTGTGTGTGTGTTTATTGGAGATTCTCCTGGGTNATGGATAGTGAGTGGTATAATAATGAAATTTGAAGTCGTAAAAGCATCGTTCCTTTTAGTAAAGTTTACAAGAAAACTCTCTTTTAAAAAGTTTCTAATTTGCCTAACAGGTCCCAAATTGGTCTTTAAAAAATTGCATATACATACATACATCTATAGTTATTGATCACCAACCACAATGAGCAGCAAGTTTCATATCTCTGCACTCGAGACAAATTTAAACACCTGAATATTCCAAAAGTAACCAATCTCTTCATGCAAATTCAGAAATTCAGTTCAGAATTTATCTACCAAGACAAAGACCAAACTAGCAACACCCATTATGTTTTTGTTAATTCAGCTAAAAGTATTCAATCACCCATCAAAAGCCAAAACCGGACTCGATTGATTGCAAAATCAACTATGCAAGACGACGCGTACCCAAGACAAACAAAAGCATCGAATTAAGTTAATATAAACTCCTGTATACTCATCAGCCAGTACTACACATTCCAGGATAGAACTTAAAACATCATATCCTACAGCAAATAACACATGACAGAATTATAAACTGACACGACTCAAAATGTGGAGTGATAATTAGCCGCATGGAGTGAGCTTCTTATTTCCTGCACCACGAGGGTTTTCATCTTTCCAATCGTCCCAAGCTCTCGCCTTTTCTTGTGCATCATCATCATCACTCTCATCATCCTCCTCGCTCGGCTTCGGTTGCTTGTTGTCTTTGTACCATGACGAGTTAGCTTCTTCCATAAGCTTTACGTTTCTTTCTTGCCATTTGTTCATTATCTCCATTTCCTTTAAACCGGCTTCCTCTATACTCATTGTCGGTAATCTATTGATAGAAAAATGAAGATCTCAGAAAAATTATTAAGCCGCTCGCTCGTCCTATTTTACTTCTTTCAGTTTTTCCCTTTTTTTTTTTTAATCAAATTTTCAATTTCTCCGATATACTTGAGCAGGGAGTGAAAAGTGTTAAACATGTACCTGTAGTGAGGTTGGAATACTTGAGCAGCGATTTTCTCCCTCTCGCTGGTCGGGTTTTTACTGACGAGGCTTGCTGGTCCGAATATCATTGGCTGGTGCCGGTGTTCATGAGCCTGCGAAACGTTAGCTCTACCTTCTAGAACATCTTGAGCGAAAGTGGCACATGTGATAGGGGCAGCAGGTTTTGTAAAACGAGCCCTTGAGGCAGCATCACGATGCCAGGCTTCGGCTTTCTTAGCGCGCTCATCGAGAATAGATCGTGAAAGTTCACCTTCCCCTTCCTGCAGAATAGTATTTGTCAACTTATCATGATGCCATGGGAAATCGCCTTTTAGTAATAATAAATTGGCCAGAAAAAACAGGGGAGCATAAAAGGAAAACTGCCTTTACTTGAAAGTTATACTGAAAAATTGTATCTATTGGAGCGGAAAAGTAATGAAAATTCCAAACTGGCAGGGTTTTCAATATATGGGGCATGGAGCATAATTTTCTATACTGATGTAATAATAAACTGTTTTCACTGTTCTTCAAATATAGCGCTCAAGAACTACAATTTTTGAACATAAGTGTGTATGCTTAACACACATGACCTTAACCATCTTAGTAAATTTTGACAAGTTGATACCTGAGATTGTCGTTCCTTGATAGCCAAAAGCATCTCTTCCTCTTTCTTCAGCATTTCAAGCAGATCAAATGCCTGGAATAACGATAAGAAAAAAATATTACATGTACAGGCGAACGTGTGTAATCAATATATATTTGATACACTAAGGAACTGAAGTTTTTGGGCCAACCTTACAAAGTGCCAATGAGGTGGTGGTTAGCCATGCCTGCGAACAAGAAGAATTCTAGTTATATTGATATTCACAAACTGAATGGAGGGAAGAATGGGGCCGAAAACAGGAACAAACAGGATGATATTAACAATCATACATAAGTATCATAACATAACAGCAAAGATACCATTATTTCTCCATCATGACATCTAATATCAATCAATCAATCCATTTCAGTCTAGCTACTACCGTGTACACATACCATGCCTATACAATTGCATAAAGGTAATACTTCCAGTATAGTTGGACAACAAGGAAACAAATTAAACTAAAAACTAAGGTATTTAATAAAGAAATAACCCCAAGAGAACAGACCTCCCTTTCTTCTTCTCCGTCATCATCCACATCATCTTCTTCTCCAACCTCAACAGGAGCAGATAATGCAGAAGCTTTGGTTGACCTCCCACGCCGTTCCTTTCGTTCTCTTATTTCAAGCAACTTCGACTCTGCAGCTTTCTGTCTTTTGAACCGAGCAATCTGGAGTAGCCGACACAGTAAGACGCGCAAACGAAATTAGTAGTCACAAACCCAAAACATGTTTGGCTTTATATTGTTCGGTTAAAGCAGCATAATTGGAACTTTTTTTTTTCCAAGCATAATTAGAACTCAAATGCTGAATAATGTGTAGTATAAGATAGAGTGCATTATCCAAAATAAATATCGCTATCTACCTTCTGAGCTCTCCTATCAGCAGATGTACCATCCATTGCTCGGCCAGATGATTCTAGTTCCTCTTCGGGTACAAGCTCCATTGCCTCACAAAAAGATATAAATTCCTGCAGAAATGGCCATGTAAATCCAAAAATTGTACAGATACCGTTGACTTAGTAAAAACGTCTTGATTGGAACAGAACCAAGAGATGCAACAAAGATAACATTCTTCACTCACAATCTGACATAACACATACCTTTAACTTGGTCTGTGAAGCTTTAACAACTTCAATCCTATCCTCTTGAGCAATTTTCTCAGCGAGCTCACCAAGGTAATATGGCACCTACACGAAACAACGTGACCATATGCCTTGGCAACAGCAAATTACAAAAGAAAAATTGATTCAACTCCATAAAATCTTTTCCGTCAGCACATACCAAATGCGTGAGGAGCAAATAAAGAAGATACCAAAACCAGAAAAGTACGAATAGTAAGAATATCAGAGTTATCACATTCGAGCATTTTCATAAATCTTCCGAGAGCCGCTCTTTTAGATTGACAATAAAAAACAAGCTATTACACTATTGCAGACATATTTAACTTAATCAACGCAACCAATCTATACTATGAAGCATCCAACTAACACCAAATGAAAGTTGACAGATTTTGCCTACAAAATCAAAATCGAACAACCGATTTGAACAAATGAAACCTCAATTGCTTGCGCATCAGAGATATAATTTAATCACATATATTAGCAATAATTCTTGAAAAAAAAAAGAGAGGATTATAACTCGAATCACTTCGAATTCCAAACAAACCCAAAACAAAAAATCAAAAAAACACTCACGAGAAGATATTTGAGCTTAGTGGTGCTGATATCATCCTTCGTCTCATTCGCCGAGAACAAACCGAGTTTTCCGATCATCTCCTCGCATTTGTTCAGCAGCTCGCAGGCTTTCCTCAAGGTATCCTGCAAAAGCAACAAATTTCAAACGAGAAAAAAACCCGTTAAAATCAAATAAAATATGCACATTCTCTAATCAGAAATACGGTGAAATCAACAAAAAATAAAAATAAAATAAAATAAATTAACCTGATCGACGGAAGAATCGGCGGCGGCTTGGTGAATTTTCCGAGCCTGCTCGAAAAGGACTGGTAAAGACATCTCCTCCATGCTTAATCCCACCATTGATTTTGATTGAAACAGAAAGCTCACTGAAAAATGTGAAAAAATGGCAAAGCCAAAGGCAAATTGATATTAAAAGAGAAAATTGGACTGGACTAGATGCGAATTGGGATATCAGGGAAGGTGCCGGTTATCGTACGCCAACGGCGTATGTTAGAGCTTATCCATTGACCGTGAAAAGAAGTGAACGGGCCTCAGCCCATCCCTTAGGCCTCTTTTAATGGATCCAAACCCAAGGCTTCTAAAATCTTATAGAAACCCAAGTCCAAATGAGTTATTGTTCATTACGTTAAACTTTATAAATTTTGGTGCTTTTAATATAAATTACTAAACATAAAATTAAAAGTATCGAGATTTTAGATATTAAAAGTCTCAAAAGCATGGTGTATTTAATTTTTACCATTAAGATTTGTTTCGCTTCTTGAAATTTATTGTAATTTCAATCACAAATTACATGCGCAAAGCCTAAATCAAATCTCAAATTCATACTTAAAATTTTACAAGTATTTTACATAAAAAAGTCACGAATTCTAGAAAGTGTTATTCAAAATCACAAATAAATACAATATCTTATAAATTCAGTTTTGATGTTCGTATAATAATCAATAATAAGTTGTAAGTTGAGTTTTATATCATAATTGATAGAACAATGCTTCCAACTTGAGTTCTGAATAAAATAATTAAACCTCAACCAAAATTTTATTATATTACACTTTTTATTCATCGCTTTGCTTTACTGATGAAAAACCTGACTATCATAACTGTTAATATTAATTCCAATCCATTTTTATAGAACCATAATAAATTTCTGGGGGTCTCAATGAAGATATTAATTATCATCAACTCACTTGTTATAAGTGTCCACGTGAAATAGACAATTGGTGACAATAGGTCTCACCAATTAAGTGTAAACTCATAAAATTCAATATTTGCTGCACATCAATAAGTATGTGCACCCACATAAATAGCAAACACAAGCTAATTAATGTATGGGGTCCATTCTTAGCCCTATCATATGTGGGCAGGGGATTGGTTTATCATTTATGCCTCAAATTATATAGGTTGCTTTTCATATTGTTGGCATTAATACTAGCTATGAAGCCAATATAAGTATTTTATTAACTTTTATGAATAAATATATAAACATATCAAATTATGAACACATTTGAAGGGTATATGGGTTTCACAAAACTCAATTCTACCACATTTGATCAACACACTCATCTAAGCATATATGTGTGAGTGAACGTGTGCTGATCAAACTTTAAACTCTTATATAACATGATTTTCCATGGATTTATCATCAACTCTTTAAATGTTCGAAACACCTTTTGACATTCTTTGGACCAGTATTTTAAATATCGTTCGATTCACATTGATCTAACTAGCGGTATATGATATTACTAGTTCAATCGTAACATCTTTAGCATTTTGTGTCTATTTATATTGAACCAATGGTCGATATTTAGTATTACTTGTTTTGTATGGTTTGCTATTTAAAACACTGTTGCAGACAACAAACTAGAACTATATTCAGTTTTTTTTTTTTTTAATNCGTTTATTTCATAATAAATAACAAACTTGTGTAATTATTTCACAATTATTTTAAATGAAGGTAATACTTATTTGTATGTAATGAAATAATATGCTTCATGCATGTAAATAAAAGATTGAAAAATATAATTAAATAGCTTTAGCAAATATTCGTGCTACATCCTATTCTCTGCTACAGCAACAAATAATAATCATCGAACGGCCCCAAATATGCAAATAGTGTTATTATTGTTGCTTTGGACTTTGGAGCATGAGAAAGGATATTTTAAGGGAATTTTCTAATGTCATATGATCCACAATTTAAGGGAATGAAATGAAAACTCATTTTTTAAAACTTTGTGGTCCATGATAATTGTATATGCATAGTTGCTTTAAGAAACAATGTGATGTAACTATATTACTAATAGGGCATGCTTGTTTACAAATTATTTTATTTTCAATCCAATTCATACTCAAAATTTAAATCAACTTTAACCCCACCCTATTATCTATAATATTATTCATATAATTAAATAATACAAACCAATCATTCTTACACATTACATTAACTTTAATTACTATTCATCCACTCACATAATTTTAATTACCTATCATTTCTAATTATTTCCAATCATTTATCTCTTACTTTTACATCAAAACAATTTTAATCATTTTATTTTAAATATTATTTTAATATATTCTTAAAATCCCACTAACAATTAACCATACTACATTTTTCAAAATTAACTCTAGTTAACTAAAATAACTCATTTTGAATGAAATATTTCATAAACAAGCACGTCCTAAGTTTTGCAATTTAATTAAAAAAAAAAAAACTTCTCACTACTCATAAGCTCTAAAACAATATTGTATAATCACTTCAGACAACTCTTAGAACAACGATGTATTTATCATTGGTTAGTCAATTTTAAAACTAAAAATTGTTGTACATGTAAAGAATATAAATTGTGACTAAAATTATGTGTATTATGCATAAATTTTAATTATATTATGATTAATTTCAGTTATTAGTAATTTTTTATTAAAATATTTATAAAGCACATTAAGCTCCATCCAGGAAATAAGCAAACTAATATAACCTGTTATATTTTTTTATAACAAAATTATATACTTATGTTAGGAAATATCATAATGTTGTTTATGCTAATTTTTAGAGTATGGGGTTTTAATTTGAATATATAAACACGTTAAAGAAATATAACTAACTAACTAACTATTAAGTCGAATAACGATAAACTTATAACTCATGAACATTTATATGCTAGGAATAAGTCTTCTCTACACTTTATACTAATTTTTAGAGTATGGGGTTAATTTGCACATATGAACACAAGACAAAATATAACCAACTAATTGTTAAGTTGAGTAACGATCAACTTATAACTAATGGGCATTTATATGTTAGGAATAAGTCTTCTCTATAATCATCTCCAATGCTTTAATGTTGTAGTAGAATAAATTTTGATAAATGTCAATAAATTAAATGGATTGTGTACTATGTAAGAAAAATATTAAGTCTATAACAATGAAATTATAAAATTCTCTCCAATGCATAATATAGTCTAACTACAATATTATATACTTATCATATATTAAATTTTTTAAAAATAAAATATAAAATTAATTAAATAATTAGATAGCTTATAATTGGTAAGAATGTTTCTCTCTCTTTTTTTCATTGGTTAGCTAGAGTGTAAATGAGAATGTGGAAGAACCACATTCTCTTCTACATTGTAGACATTAATTAAGTCTACATCATCACAATATTTGTGATCACATTCTACATTGAAGATGAAAAAATGATGAATTTATTAAATGTGTTGATGTGGAATGTAATTTACCGCAACAACATTTGACCATTGGAGATGCTCTAACCAATGAATAGAAAAGAGAACATTATTCTTATCATTTTCAAGCTATCAAATTATTTAACTAATTTTTTTATTTTTATTAAAATTTTAATATTTGGTAAGTAGATAATATTGTAGTTAGACTACGTTGTACATTGGAGATGATTTTTAAATTTCATAGTTGTGAACTTAACATTATTCCTATATGGTATACAATCTATTTAATTTATTGACATTTGTCATAATTTATTCTATAACAACATTAGAGCGTTGAAGATGCTCTAAAAAGAGCCTGAATATATATTAATTGCCATAAATGATAGAAATATTCTTGAACCACGAAAACAAACTTTATAGCTAACTTCAATTTTATAGAATTATATCTCCTTCTTTGTGGGGCTACAGAGACAGAGATTGACAACCAAACCAACCTGGAAAGACATTACACTTCATTGGAACAAAACCTGTTCGATAATTTGACACAGTGAAATTGACAAATAGAAGAAAAAATTTGCTCAATTGCCCCTCAAATTCACAACTTAGAACAACAAACTGAAGAACACGAGGACGAAAACGAGGAGGGTGCTCGCCAAAAATGGGGATTAATGGGCCCAGCACTGAAAACTAGGGAAACTATTATAACCAGCTTTTATACTATTTTCCCTTTTCCCCCTTGTTTTTTTGTCTTTTCCTTTTTTTTTCTTCTTAAACCGGAGCCTTTGGTAACTGAATTTGCAGAGTTCGCACGTGTAAAGCTTCATGCTTTTGGCGTGCTCTGACGATTTTATAAAGGATAAAGTCTCAGCAGCAAAAGGGATTTTAGTTTTACCAGCTCTTTTCAGCTGGGTATTTTTTCAGCAAAGAGAACTTTTGCAGTTTAAGCAAAACCATTTGTTAGTAAAAAATGGATCTATTTTTTCAGCTGAATTTTCTCCAGAAAAGAAGTGTTTCAATGCGCTGATTCAATAACATAAGGGCCCAGTTCTTGTAAGTAACTCTGAGCTCTCATGATGTTTGAAATTCTAGATTTTGGGTTTTTCAGCTCAAGAAACTTGTACTTTGTCTGTCTCTGTTTTTCTCCCCTTTTTTCACTTCTTATTTTCTGTTTTTTCAGTTTTGTGTCTTCTCATCTTCATACTTGCTAATTTATGTGAAATTGCTTATTGGGTTGTAATGTGTTTCAGTTTTATCATTAATTTGCCCAAGCATTTTTTAGTTCTTAGCTCCTCTTGTGTATTTGCTTTGTGTGAGCTGTGTTGTGTTTGGCTTTTAGGTGCAAGATTCCAATTCTCCTAATTCAATCTATGAGTTGGTGTTGGCTGCCAAAAGTTGAATCTATTTGAAATAATTAAAGATACTTCAGGAANAAAGAGCAAAAAGCACTAATCCAGTGACATGTCACAGGTGGCTGATCTCATAACTGTGCAATGGATGAAAATGGCAGCTCAAATTCATTCATCACAACATCTGAGGAGAAAATAGACAGCTCAAATTCATTCATTCATAAGGACACGAAAACCAGAGATCATGAGCTTCTGCAAAAGCTCGAAGATGCACAAAAACAGATCGAGCAACTGAAGAAAACGAGAAGCGACGATGGCAAGGCCAACGAGAAGGTCGTGGGCATTTTTGCAGCCCGCGAACAATTTTGGCTTAGTGAAAAAAAGAAGCTCACAGAAGAAATCGATGTTCTTGTGGAGGAATTACGAGCCTTAGAGAATGAAAAGGACAAATCCATTTCCAAACTCAACGAGAAGTTGAACGAAACCGAAGCTGTTTTACTTTCGAAGGATAAATCCATTGAGCAAGTGGAGCAAAAAAGACGAGAAATGGAAGAAAATTTGAAAAAAGCCGAAGATCTCGTGCAGGAACTGAGAGAAAATTCGAACCATGAGTCCCAACGCCATTCGAACGAGATTCTAAAACACAAAACGGCATTCATCGAGCTCGTTTCGAATCAAAGGCAGCTCAAAGCAGAAATGGGTCGGGTCCTCAGGCAATTCGAGGCTGCAAAGCAAGAGCTCGACTCAGTTTTGCTCCAGAAAGATCAGTCTGTCTTGATGGCACAACGAGTTTCCATGGAACTCGTCAAAATGCGAAAAGATTTGGAGCAGAAAGATCAGATTTTGTCTGCCTTGCTGAGGAAATCGAAACTGGAGGCAGATGAAAAGGAGATGCTTTTAAATGAAGTTAAGTCGTCGAAGGTTATGAGAAAGCAGGCTGAGATGGAAACTGCCAGGTGGAAGGCGGTTATGGAGGCAAAGCCCGAGAGACATTCGTTGAGAAACATTTTGTATAAACGTGGGAATAATGTGAAGTCTGACGTGTTTTCGGGTGGGAAAGGAGTGAACTCAAAGTCCGATGTTCTTTCGCTCGGGACTAACTTGTGTTCGACTGGTGCAGCTGATGATGAACTGAGTAAGATTGCATTTTAAAGTGAAGCCTGCATTTTTTGAGTAAATTTAGTTGAGAATTAGAAGTTGGTAGTGTTTGTGAACTGAGTAAGGTTGCATCTTAAATGAATTTAAGTCTGCATTCTTTTGAGTAAATTTAGTTGAGAATTAGAAGTTTGTAGTGGTTGTTAGTTGTTACTACCTCCTATTCTTTTTAAATGTGATTTTGACTTTATTAACCATTAACCAAATAAATGATGTTTTAGATCTTTTGTACATATTTTTCCATTACTACCCTCATTTAGCTAATAAATACACTACGTCTTTTCATATTCACTTTTTATATTTTCTCAAAACATCTACCTTCATTGACGAGGGTTATTATTGAAAAAAAAAATTCTTAATTGCTGTGCAACTTCTCAAAACGACGCTTATTAGGAATAGGAGGGAGTAGTAACTACTTATGGATAATTGCAGAAGCTAACCTTGAGGTTTGTGCTTTGAAAATTATGAAAATTATGAAGTCCACCCAGAAATCTTCTTTCTGTTTACGCTTTCGCTCTTGTCATTAGTTGACTTGACGAAAATCTGCCGAAGGGATTAAATTTTTTCACAATTATAAACCTCAACTTAATGAAAATATTGCAAGTAGCCTCAGTTATCATTTGACTATTTGTAGTACTTAAGAAGTTAAGATACTGAGGGACGTAAATATAGGAAAGCTAGACTCAAATCTGGATTTGTTTGTAATGTTCAGTGAAGTTGTTTGACAAATACTAAGAAATTCTTATCTGGGGTAGCTTGCAATATTTTTGAGAAGTTGATGAATGGAATGTAAGTTACATTTGACAACTTTCGAGGATATTCTGTACTACTTTCGTAACGCATTTTTTTTTTCTTTTTTCCAATTCTTTTAGAGATGGCAGCTGAAATCGAGCCTCCGTATAGCACAATCACCTCCGAAGCCGAATCATACGAATTCGCGATAAAGCAGAATCATAACAACAATCTCGAAATAGATGCATTTGCCGAGCAACTGAGGCTCAAAGACGAAAAAATGGAAACTTTCAGATGGCGCTTGCTGAGCACAGAGATCGAGTCCAAGAGGCTGCGGGCCCACATCGAGACCCTCAGGCAGGAGAACCTCAGGCTCGAGGCCCTGCTGATGGACCGTGAATCTGAGCTGCATTCTCTCAAGGAGCAGCTTGTTTCGCAGTTCAACCCCCCGAATCTCCAGAAATTGCACTTTGGTCCCTCTCCACCCGCAGACCACGAAACTGTTTGGTCTAAAGTGAAGATCATCAAAAGAAAGCCCGAGAAAGATTGTCGGGTGGGCGAAAATGGAAAAGTAGACGATGAAATTAGAGACCATGATCGAGCGCGGGATATAGTTCTAACGATCGAGTATCCACAAAAGGACAAACAAGAAAAGAAAGTTGCTGCTCATCATATTCGGGAGAAAAGTGTCGATTCGGATGCTGCTGCAAGTGTCGATCAAGTGACGAGCAAGAAAACGATTTCGGGACTGAAGATGGATATTCAGGCGCTCGGTGTGTCGTACAAGATTAAGAGACTTAAGCAGCAGTTTGTTATGCTCGAGAGGCTGACTGGGAAGCAAGAAAGTGGCGAGAGTAGTGAAAGTGAAAACGGGCTTCTCGGGATTAAGGGTTTTTATGCACTCACGGCTTTACTGAACAAACAGGTCGACAGGTACCAATCGCTGCAGGGGAAAACGGATGATCTTTGCCAAAGAATGGTACCCTTTTGCGTTTTGCCTTGATTTTGGAAAATTCTCTATCGAAATTTATGTTTTTTGAACATTTTCTTGGAACTTTTTGTTTGATATTTAATTTAACTAGAATCACCTTTTGAGACTATGTGAATGTTTGGAACACACTCGACAAAAGTGACAATCAGCTAACACATGAACTATTTGGTTAATCTCAACTAATTAAATTTACCATTAATCATCTTTTTAAATGCATGCATGATTAACTGCAGGAGGAAAGCAGGCTAAATTTGAGATGTGTGGGGCCCACCGTCGCTAAAACAGTGGAAGAGACCAAAATGCTCGAGCAGTTTCTCGACGAGACCTTTCAGCTGCAGAGGCACATTGTTGCGACCGGCCAGAAACTAATGGAGGTGCAGGCGAAGATCTCGTGCGGATTTGTCGAGGATGATGAAAAGACCATAATGCCCTCGGGCTTCGACGTGAAGCGTTTTGCTGACAGCATACGAACGCTTTTCCAGGAAGTCCAGAGGGGCTTTGAAATTCGGATATCGCGAATTATCGGGGATCTCGGTGGGACCCTCGCGATCGACAGTATTATACACTTGAAGAAATAGTTTCTTTAGTTTTTCCTTTTTTTTAAAAAAAAAAAATTCTGGTTTGAAATGTGAATAATGAGAATTAAAGGCCAGGTAGAGGAGTTTGTTTAGAGTTATATAGGTTTTATTCACTTACAGGTTTTCATGGTAATGTAATTTAGGAGGTAATCTGATCTATTTGAATTCATCAGGGGTAGTTTTGTCTTTTCCAAATGTGTATCCAATGTTTGGTCCAAATTATGATGATTTTAGCTGGATAAATGATGATTAGTTGGCAAAGTTTTCAATCTGCATTTTGACTTGCTTAAAATTTGACTGCATTGCAATCGATGGGTTTTTTTTTTGTTATTTATCGTTAAATCAACACATACATGATGTACCGGAAAATATTGGCATATATGAAATAAATGTGATTATGAATAAATATTGATAGCTTAATAAATGTGTGATGTGATTTGATGTGAATGGAGATGTATGGATGGTAGTGTGCCACCTTAATACTATCCACTAGAACATTCTTGCTTAGTACTACTCACAACAAAAATTAATAATAAAAAACATGCCATGTTAGGATCAATCACACACATGTGGTCCTGATGTGGAGGTATACATAAAGTGTATGTACATGCATTAAGATCCATAGTGAAGTTTTGTCATGAGGTGTCTAACAATGGGAAAACAACAATTGTCAATTCTTTTTCTTTTTTTTTTTTGGTTAAAAATTCCGTGTGAGTCTGTCTAACGGTTATTCGAGTGAATAAAAATATATATTTATAAATATATATTATAAATGTCATACTTTTATTTTACACTATATGATATTCTAGCTTATATATATTAAAAAAATATGATTGTTTAAACGTTATGTCTATCTAACACGGGTGTTCAACAAAATATAGTTTATCGAACTCTTGAAAATGAGGTTTCATCTATTAATAGTTCAATACACAACAACCACAC